TAAATTTAATTAAATTAAATTATTATTTTTTTTTATCACTGCCTAGAAATCCCCTTGGTTTTCATGTTGCTAAAATTACATAGCAAGCAAGCAACATAACTTAAAGCCTTCACAAGAAACAAACATAACCACTCACCCAAATTCAAATTCAAATTCAAATTCAAACTCAAAAAAATAAGTTTTTCCCCAGATTTAAAACTATATTTACTATCCAATATTTAAAAATAAAAATAAAAAAACTCAATCAACAACTACAATACCAAAGTGTATCGGCCATTTTTAACATTTCTTGCTCTTTTCAATGCTGCAAAAATAAATAAAACTATAGAATCAAGGATATCTCCCAACTTAAACACAATTAATACTAATTAGTATTATTCAATATAATAATGGCATCCTGAAAATATATATAACATTTTTTTAATGTTCTGTTTGTTGGCACATATCTCAGTTGTTTTAACAATGCACTAATCCAAACATTCTCTCAAATACTTGCCACACTATGTACCTTTTGAAAAGTACCTAAATACCTAAATACCTTAATACCAAACACAAAACTTCAACTCTTCACTAATGTTTCTTTAACCCCCTAAGGGGCTGATTACAATCTATCTCCAAAATACCATCCAATATTAGGTAACTACGTCATTTTCTTGTTTGATAGAAACTTGGGTTATTTCATCTTTAGGCTTATCTTAAGCTTTTATGAAAAATAAACTCATTATCCATAAGCCCTAAACCCTAACAAAATCACCTCCATATTTCTTATCTTCATATTTATTCTCTCACAGCATTCTACTTAAAATCATTTATGTCTTACCTTTTGCTATTACACTTTTAGTCTTCGCAAATTCTGCAATAAACTTTATTCGTTGGATCCGAGTCTCCTAAATCTTACCCGAATAATATATATATATATATATATATATATATATATATATATATGTCCGCATAATTTATAACTATAAAAAGACTATCAATTCATACTTTGACAAAATGTCTTATATTTATACTTCTTTGAATTATAAAATCAAGGGTAAATTTCTCGGTTTTAAAACCCTTTTTGTTTATTTTTTTATACAATATTTTATCAAACAGATAAGATTCATGCAAGAAATACATGATTACATAAATAGATATATATATATATATAAGGTACTTGGTGCCATTCTTTTTTTGTTTTTTTTTTATTTCAGGTTTAACGAAAAAATAAAATAAAACAATATGAATGAAATAAAAAAAATCTCGGCAACGGGGAATTGAACCCCGGTCCCCCGCGTGCTGCTAATTAAAGCTGACAGGCGGAAATTCTAGCCACTAAACTATTGCCGATTTAACAACTTGATTAATTACAACTAAAAACAAATGTATATGTATAGTTGCTTTTATTTTAAGATCACGTGACTTTATTTGTATTTAGAGAATTTGTTTTTGTTTTGAAATAGAATTCTTTGGTTACAAATAATTTATGAAAATTTCAGCATAAATTTATTTTAAATAAAATCATTATGTTAGTAGGTAAAATAAATTGTAGTAGTATTTTTTTTTAATTAAACTTGATTAACGATAAATTTCTTTGTGGGAAATAATTATCGAATTGATTACAGTAATAATTTAGTTGTTTTTCTATCTCCTTATCTTTTTTTTTTATAAACTGGTCAAAACAAATTCAAAAAAAAAAAAAAAAAAAAAAAAAAAAAAAAGGGAAATGATAATAGCTAATTCTACCAATTATCATTATTTTTTTTATAACATATATATATATAATTACAATTAATACTAGGCTTTGAATAGTCTAAGATTAGTCAAAACTTTGATTTCTTGGCACAAAAAAATTAAAAAATAACAATAAAATGTAATCGAAAGAGTGAAAATAGAATATTTGAGTTACTATATAAGATGAAAAAAAAAAAACTAAGTATTGTGATAACTAATTAACTAATTAACTAATTAACTAATTAACTAACTAACTAACTAACAAACAAACTAGTTAACGATAAAAAAACAACGAACCTGCATTGGTCCAAATTTAATTATTTTTTAGTTTAACAGGCATCTCAACAAAATTAAAACAAAAAAACAAGTTGTATTTACTTTTCATTGTTAAAAAAATAAATAAATAAATCCTTGTTTTTTTATTAAAAAAAAAAAAAACTATCGGTTCTAATGCGCCACAACATCTCTAGAAAAAAACCGTTGCGTAGATGAAAAAATTAAAATTAAAATTAAAATTAAAATTAAAATTAAAATTAAAATTAAAATTAAAATAAAAATAAAAATAAAAATAAAAATAAAAATAAAAATAAAAATAAAAATAAAAATAAAAATAAAAATAAAAATAAAAATAAAAATAAAAATAAAAATAAAAATAAAAATAAAAATAAAAATAAAAATAAAAATAAAAATAAAAATAAAAATAAAAATAAAAATAAAAACCAAAAACTAAAATTTGTAGAGACTCTTGCGTGATCAAAAGTCAGCCACGATTTTATGAGCCACTTTTACAAAAAAAAAAAAAAAAAATTTTAAAAACTTTAAAAACTTTAAAAAACTTTAAAAAAAATAAATATCAAAATAGTTGAAAATGTATTTATGTTAGAGTAAAAATAGGATACAAAAAGAAATCGAAAAAAAAAAAATTAAAATACTTAATTTTTTTATTTATTTATTTGGTTAGTTTTTTTTTGAATACTTATGGTGAATAATGACAGTTTAAGCATCTTCTAGGATTTCTGTCAAAAAAAAAAAAATCAAAGTTTTGATTTACCTATAATTACAATTATATATCCTTTGTTTTCAAAAGTTTTCTTCTTTATTTTTTTTTTAATCCATTCTAATACTTAACTAATGAGCACATTAACTTAACAAATCTAATAAATGCACTTTCCTTGTTATGGCTTTTGAAAAACTAGATTACGTTATACTCTTATCAAGGGGAACCTCTCAAGAAACTAAAGAACAAAATGCAAAGCTTTTCTTTTTTTTTCTTTTTTTTTTCTTATCTTATCTTCTAGAAGATCTGTCATATTATCATTAAACGTCTACATCTGGTAAACATTTCTTCCATTGCTTATTATTATTGTTCAACTTTTTGTTTGGGGGGGATTCTCTCATTCTTTCTAATCACGGTGATAAGTTTTACCGAAAATAGAAAATGAATTACTGGTATATATTCACAAAAATTACTGTGAAATAACAAACAGGGCTATTGTTTTTTTTTTTATTTCTCGTGACTAAACTATTTTGTTTAACCACAGTTAGTTAGAAGTAATTTTAACATTGATGGATCAGTTAAATTAAGATATTCAAAATAACTCTGTACAGTAATATAGTTAAACTTCTTTTGGTATTATTTTTAGGAAGTGCACTTCTTTTTTTTTTCTTTGTAATGGAGTATTTTTCTTCCATATCATTTTATATTCTCCCCCTCAATATATACTCAAAATTCAAGTATACATCGATACTAAATTTTGAGTACTTAACAAAACTGAAATCAAAATAGAGCATACGTGAAGATCCTTTTTTATTTTGTTTTTTATGAAAAAAAAAATCAAATGAAAAAAAAAAAAACTCTGACAACGTAATTAATTAAAATTAATTTGAGCGGTTTATTTTATTTGCCTCGAAAATAACAAAAAAAAATTGATGATATTTTTTTAATAAGTATATCAGTTTTTATTTTGTTACTTTTAGACGGTAACATGATGGTAATGATTTTGAAAGAGTAATAATGAGTATTAAAACTTCTATTTTTTCTTTAAAAGTTTTAATCTGAGTAATTAAAAATATTCATTTTTCTTGATTAAGGCTCTTTTCTTGGTATCACGATAATGAATTATTTCAATCGTAAAATACTTTTAAATAAATTCTATTTTTATTTTTTTTATTTTTTTCATTTTTCATTCTTCAAATAGAAATTTACTAAAATTGGCAGTAAAAAATAGTAAAACAGTTCTTTTAATTTGTTTTCATTGACACATGTTTTTTTTTATTTTTATTTTTATTTTTATTTTTTTGGTTAGCCCTAATTGCTTTCATTTCCGTCGCCTTTTTTCCCTAAAACAGAAATTAAGTTTGCCATTGATTTCGGAGTCCTTTAGAAAAGCAAACAGAGGGAAATAAAAAAAATAAAAATAAAATCAATGATAGGCCAATTAGAAAAAAGATATTATTTTGTTATATTTTTTATTTATATTTTCATTTTTTTTTTTTTTTGCTCTCTTTTATTGTTGTTTGTTTCCATGTAGGTTTTGCCAGTACCGAGACAAACAAGTATGTTTCCGAGAGTTGACCGTTTGAGTGAAACGTGTTTGTATTGTTGCAAAGAAAAAAAAAAAGAAAGGGAAAAAAAAGAAGAAGAGAATTGGAGCAGTCAGATTTATGAAAAAAAAAAAATTAATAAAAATGGTGAAGATTTTAGAGAAATTAGATAAATAAACGTGACTGATAATAAATACGGTAACCCTCCCCGCCCCCACGCCTTTTAAAAGTTAGTAAGAATTTATATTAGAAAATAAATATATATATATATATATATATAGATTCTTATATAGATTTTAATAAGTTCCTCGGTTATGGCCGTAACAGGGTGGTTTTTATTGTTGTTATTATTATTATTATTATTATTATTATTATTATTATTATTATTATTATTATTATTATTATTATTATTATTATTATTATTATTATTATTATTATTATTATTATTATTATTATTATTATTATTATTATTATTATTATTATTATTATTATTATTATTATTATTATTATTATTATTATTATTATTATTATTATTATTATTATTATTATTATTATTATTATTATTATTATTATTATTATTATTATTATTATTATTATTATTACTATTAACGATAATAATGATGATGATGGTAAAGTTATTATTTGTAGACGCAACTTATTTTTTAACTTTAAAATGTCTTATTTTGTCAAATTCATCACAACATTTTAGATGTTGAATAAAATGAAAAGATGGTAGAAAAAACAAGTAAAAAACTTTTTTTCATATTAATTAAATATAAAAACAATAAGAAGAAAGAACAAAATAAAATAATCAGATTAAATTAAAAATCTTGTGAACTGTAGTTGAATGAAAAAAAAAAAAATTATTATAATTATAATTATAATACAATAGAAGAACCACTTTCTTTCTACATTAGATATTTGGACCCCGTATTTTTTTTTTAGTATTTAGATTGGTATATAATGATTCTTGTAAATAAAAATGAACTTTTCTATTATTTTTATTATTATTATTATTATTATTTTATTATTATTATTATTTTATTATTATTATTATTATTATTATTATTATTATTATTATTATTATTATTATTATTATTATTATTAATTGAAGTGGTATCAGATGGTTTAAAGTTTGTTTATTCTCCAGTTAGTTTAGTTCTAATTGAATATGTATGTATTTATGAAATTAGCTGGTTAGTTAATTAGATGGTTAGATAATTAGCTAGTCAGTTATTCCACAAATGAAAGTAAATAATGATGACGAGCAGATTTGATTAAATTGCAGAATTTGAAAAATAATAATAAAAATAATTTCATTTTGAAAGCAAAAAAAAAAAAAAAAAAAAAAAAAAAAAAAAGCCACAGAATTTTTTTTATTTATTTTTTTTCAATCAAAAAAAAAAAAAACTTTCAGTTCCAGCCGGTAATGAAATAATGATAGAACAAAAAAAAATAAGGGCGACGTAAAATAAACTAATTTAATAAGGGTCGTAAAGAAAAGAAAAAAGAAAAATTAAAGTACCTAGTAAACTGTATAAATGATTTTATTGAAAAAAAAAATTAAAGTTGAATATTGAATATGAAAATAAAAATAAAAAGAGTAAATTTTTGTCAATTCCCAGTTTAAGAATTAAATTTGTTTTTAAAAAACCAAAAGGACATAAAAAAACAAATAAATCCAAATTAAAAAAAAAAAAAATTTGATAAAAAAAATGATAAAAAAAGTTTAATATCAAATAAAATAAACTAAAATAAAATAAAATAAAAAAATTAATATTGAGGGTTGTGGGAATATCAATAAAATGCGGCTCAAAATGGAAAAGACCATCTAAGTCTTCTTATTCGGTCAAATGCCCATCGTATCCCGAAAAAAAAAACGTCCTCTATAATTTTTCACTTCATTGTTTTAATATATCTATATCTCTCAATTATTGAAATTCTATATATATATATATTAATATAAAATTCTCTTCATATCCATTTAAAAGTACTTTTCCTCTTTTTTTTTTTTTTTTTTTTTTTTCTTCTTTATCAATCAATTTTTTATTCTCTACAATGACTGATAAAAAAGATACAGAACTCACAATCACCTCGGAGATTGATGCCGCTAGCCAGAATATTGACGGAGCTAACCAGGAAATTGATCCCGACTCTGGCGTCCGCCGCGGCCTTAAAACACGCCATCTGTCTATGATGGCCCTGGCTGGAATTATCGGGCCTGGTGTATTATCAGGTTTTGGTGGTGTGCTACCCAAAGGCGGACCTATTGCTGTTCTTATAGGTTTTGGCGTTGTTGGTCTGCTTGCGTACTCTGTAACACAATCTGTGGGTGAAATGACAACCATTTATCCAACAGGAGGAGCATTCATGACACTGGCTGAACGATTTGGGGATAAAGCTTTGAGTTTTGCAATTGGCTGGTATTACTTTATTATCTGGGTAACGGTTCTAGCAAATGAATACAACATTACAACATCAACACTAAATTTCTGGACAGATAAAATCCCAATCTGGGGGTGGTTTTTAATCATTTGGTTTTTGTTTCTTGCGTTCCAATTGTTAGGTGTTGAGGCCTTTGGAGAGTCCGAGTACTGGTTAGCTTTAATCAAAATTATAGCACTGACTGTTTACTTTTTGTTTGCCTTGATCTACATGTGCGGCGGTGTCAAGGGCACACCTGCGTTTGGATTTCAGTACTGGAGAAACCCGGGGCCATTTTCAAACGGCTTTCGCGGGGTAGCAAACGTGTTTATTTACTGTTCCACTTATTACGCCGGTGTCGAGTCTGTAGCCATTGCTGCCACAGAAACACGCAACCCATCCAAGGCGGTACCACTGGCTGTTAGACAGGTCTTTTGGCGCATCATTTTCGTGTATATGGGGTGTGCATTTTTCTATGGTGTGACGGTACCATACAACAGCCCGGAGCTGTCTGGGTCGTCACGCGCCATCAAGTCACCCATCACTATAGCTTTGGCAAATGCTGGCTGGGCTGGCGGAATCCATTTGGTGAATGCGTTTATTTTGGTGACTTGTCTTTCAGCTGTTAATTCTAGTATTTACATTGGGTCACGTACCATTTTGTTTATGGCCCATGATGGTACTGCTCCTAAGATCTTGGGGTATACCAACAAAAGAGGTGTTCCTGTGTATGCAATTGTTCTGACCAATCTTTTTGGAGCAATTGCGTTACTCAACGTGTCTGAGGGTGCCATGGATGCCTTTGGATATATTGTCAATATTTCCGGTGTTGCCACGTTTTTGGTTTGGGGCGCCATTTCGTTTGTTCACCTGAGGTTCCGGGCTGCTTGGAAACACAATGGGCTAACCAAGGAGGACATTCCGTTCCAGTCAATATTGTTCCCGTGGAACGCCTACTTTGGACTAGGGTTTAGTATGTTTCTGGCCTTTGTACAAGGCTGGTCAACACTGTCTCCTTTTAGTTATAAAGACTTTATAGATGCATATTTGATGCTGCCATTGTTCCCCATCTTTTACATTGTGTATAAGTTGGTGTTCAAGACTAAGTTTAAGAAGCTGGACGAGATTGATGTGTTTTCAGGACGTCGCAAGGATGTTGGAGCGTATCATGATGTTGAGCAAGGAGATGGAGCCAATATTGAAGCTGAAGATGATTCAACCTTTGGAATCTTTAAAACTGGAATTAAAAAAGTTTGGAATAAAATGTAGCTGATTTTAAATATTTTTATTAATAGAAAATTAACAAAAGTTGAATATTTGGTTAACTTAACTCAGATTTTAATTAAGTGATGATGATGATGATGATGATGGTATTCAGCCGTGCGTTGTACAACTTTATCGGTACACCTTAAAATTTGGGTTCTCCGCCTTGAGGGGCAGTGCATTCCAGGCTTTAAATAAAAAAAAAAAAAAGTATAAAAAGGGGAGGCCAAGGACGAGGACTCTTTCTTTTCTGCAATAAATAAAAATAAAGTCTAATAAAAACAAAAAAAAAAAAAAACGATTTAACAAAAAAAAATAAAAATGGCCACTGAAACGCCACTTCTCATTGCTAATAATGTTATAGAATCATATCCTGAAGGCCACGAAACCACTGGAACACTCACCATCTCCCTCGTCGGCTTTAAGGTCGGCGGCAACCCGTCTGGAAACTTGTCGACTGAAACTTATCTCGACCTAACTCTTCCATCTGGTGCCAATTTACCAGTTCCTGCATCCACACGGGTATGGCAGCCTACACCGACAAGTTTTTCGATTGAACTGAGCGAGTCAACTTTGGAATATTTACTGGAAGCTACAGGAGATATGGTTTCGCCCCAGACTATACTTGATTTTGCGCAAGCGTCTGCACCTAATTGGTCCCAGCAGCAGGTGAGATCATTTTCTGAAACGCTGGAAACTGTGCAGTCAATTTTCGCACAATATGCCCAATTTGCACACCCGGAAATGACACCTGGATCACTGGTTCTGGTTGCAGAAGAAGACGGAAGTCCTGTGGCAAACCTCAAAGTGGATGAGCCTATACAGCCACTACCGAATGATAAGTCGCCTGTAGTTGTGGAGGTTATTGAAGGAGGGGCACGGGTGAGTGTACGACCTGCTACGGAGGAAGAGCAGGCTGCGATTGAAGCTGGGGTCGATGCTACGATGGTTGATGAGCTTCCCAAGGCATACAGGGATGACAAGTTGATTGGAGCAGCTGTGGGAGTTTCCCGAGGGTTAGTGTATGCCTCGCAAACGCTTGCTCATGGTCTTAATAAGGCTGCGGATTGGTATACATACTCGAGGCCTGTAACGGAGACTCCATTAGTGTTTGAGGAGAGTACTAAGAAGCGGGTTCATAGGGTTGCGCAGGTATCTGGGACAGGTGCCAAGTATACACGTAAGGCGTCTAGTGCTGTTCAGAATCTTGCTGCTGGTCTTGGTGAGCGGATGACTAAGAAGCGGGAAGCCAAGGCTGGAGGTAAGAATGGAAGTTCTTCTCCATCATTATTGAACCGGTCACTTGTTGCATTTTCGACAGTTATGGATGGCTTGGATACAGCTACACAGACTGTTGTGAACAGTGCAGCGGGGTCATCTGCTAAAGTTGTTGGACATGCGTATGGACCGGAGGCTAGAGGGCTTGCAGAAGAAGTTGGACGGAGTGTTACGCATGTTGCAGCTGTTTATGTGGATGTTAGGGGGGTATCGAGGAAGGCGATTGTTAAGGGATTTACTAAGGGAGCTGTTCGTGGTGTTGTTAGTAGTGGTGGTGATGGTGGTGAGCATAAAGAAGATGAAGCTCAGGTGGTTGTTTTAGGAGGGTCGGAAAAGGGGTTTGTAAATGAGAGGTATTGAAAATGGGGGATAATTTTTAGGCAAATTTTTTTAAGGTTATCAATAAGGTTTAGGGTTCGATGGTCTAGTCGGTCATGGCATCTGCTTAACACGCAGAACGTCCCCAGTTCGATCCTGGGTCGAATCATTAAATTATTTTAATTATATTTGTAATATTTTAATTATGCTGAGTCATGCTTAGTAATTAATTATTTTTTTATTATTATTTATTATTTTGTTTTTTAAATTCAATTGCGTTCTTTTGTAAAAAAAATTCCTTTTTTTTTTTTTTTTTTTTTTTCTCCCCTTTTTTTTTTATTTTATTTATATTTAAATATTTATTTATAAAAAAAAAAAAAAAAAAATTTCCTTCAAAACAATTATCATCACCACTGATTGTTATCTTTTATATAAATTTTATAATTTTTTATAATTTTTATAAATCTTTTTTCTTAAAACAATCAATTCATCAATTCATCAATTTATTTATTTATTTAATTATTATCGTTACTCATCATCAATCTTATTCTTCAGCCATTCACGTCTCCCAAGCAATAATTTCTCTCTTGTTATCTCCTCACCAACAATCTTTTTTTTTTTTTTTTTTTTTTTTTTTCTGGGGATCCCAAGTATAGTAGATAATAATAATAATAATAATAATAATAATAAATAAATAAATAAAGAATTAAAGAATTAAAGAATTAAAGAATTAAATAAAAGAAAGAAAGAAAGAAAAGAAATAGATAATTAGTCCCTTCAATTTATTTATTTTTTTTTTTTTTTTAAAAAAAAATTATTCGTTTTAGTCAAATGTCGTCACTCGACACCCTGCCTCTTCCAGCTGCTCCTTCAGTCATTCAGCAGCAGCAACAACAACAACAACAACAACAACAACAACTCTTGGATTCGTCTACAGTCATCATTGTTGATGGTATTCTTTTATCAGATCAACAAAAGATTCAACTACCTTCTGACATAACTTCTTCATCATCAAATTCATCCTCAACTTCAAACTCATCTTCAAATTCAAATTCAACTTGCACCCAAAAACCCCCACCTGCATCTCCAGCACTTTCAGTTGCAACCTCTTCATCCCTCCCACCATCCCCAATCCCTGCAACACCTCCAGGATCTCCGCCTTTGGCTCTTCCTGTTTCTGCTCCAATCCTTTCAGATTCTGTGCAACAAATCCCAGAACTTTTAGTTCTTGACCCTCAGCAGCAGCAACAACAACCACAACAACCACAACAACAACAGCAGCAACAACAACAACAACAACAACAGCAAGACCCCTCAGCACTTCCACCATCCCCTCCTCAAAGCTCTTCACAACACTTTGCCCAAAATAATAACCCACTCTTTACAAAAACTGCTCTCCAATCAATCGTATCACCTTCTCCACCAGTCTACTCAATCTCAGCTGAAACACTGGCCGCTGCTGTTAACCATAATTATTCCTCTCCACTCCCAACTGTCGACGATTTCTTCCCATGGCTACATGGCCTCCACAATGCAAACATCTACCAACGTACCTTTTTCGCCCAACCAGTTGATGGTTCCTCCATCCCACCACCAGGATCTTTCTGCGGATTGCTCCTCGTCAAAGTCGCACCTTCCCCTAATAATACCCTCCCAGGAACCCTAATTGGCTCATGCCATCCTCATGAAATACTGGCCTTGAAATCCCCCTCTTCCTCTTCTTCCTCCTCTACCTCCTCCTCCTCTACCTCCACCTCCACCTCCACTTCCACTTCCTCGGACCTATCAGCATACTCCCCAGCTGACTTCCTTCCAACTTTCCTTAACCTCGACCCCGCAGAAGGCATTTCTCTTAGAAACTTCCACCTCCAAATCGCTAAATGGGCTCCCATCTCAAATATTATTCTTTACGTCGGTGACGAGGCCTCCCGCAAAGACCTTCTCCCATACGCTACCCTCATATCTCAGGCACAAGCTCAAGCCCGTGCACTACACCAAGGTATCCCTCCTTGCAACACATACATTTGCCATGACCAAATGTCTGCCTTTATGCGCGTCGCCCGCCATATTGTCGCCGTCCCTCCCCAAGGTTTCCCCTATAATGAAACTGAAGTCCGCATGCGCAACTGGGATTCAAACTTCCTCGCTCATGAAGGTATCGAAATGTCAATGATGTCTTGTGCATCCCCCATTGGCGACCCTGATAATGGCGCAGTCTGGCTCGGGAACAATGCCGATTTTGAGGCTCACATTCAAAAAGTCTTTACTTACCTTGCCCAGTCAGAATCCTCTGTGTCCTCCTCCTCCTCCTCCTCCTCCTCACAAAAGAAAAATATCGATTTTGCCAACTGGACAATGTACGTCCGTTGCCTCACCGTCGCCCCTATCCCTTCCCTCTCCCTCCTAGACCAATACATCCGTGAAACACTCTCCGGAGACCTCGGCGACCACCTAGACGGTCGTATCGTCTGTGATGTCCCATGTGCAACCCCAGGCTGGAAGGGAACTATCATTGACTTCCCCTCCTCTGGCTGGTTCGACCCAAATATGGACGTTGACGATGAAAATTGGTTCATCATTGTTAGCATGTGTAAACTCCTGTACGTCCGCTCAAAAGCCCAACACAAGGGCCTCCCAACAACTAGTCTCATCTTCTGTCATGATGGATACACAGAATCATCCTTCCTTGCCCTCTGCTACCTCATCTATTCCACTGGTCTCTCTGCACCCCAAGCTTGGGTTGCCCTGCATAAAAAGTATAACCGCGCCTTTTTTAGCTTTGGAATTGATGTCTGCGTTATTTCCCGCATTCAAAACTTGCTGCTCAAATACTCCCCAGCTGTCCCAGGAAGTTTATACGATGAAAACTATGGAGCCGTCTACGATGGAGGCTCTCTTAAACTGTCCCGCGTCATCCCTTGGGCAAGTAGCTTAGACGCCCAGGAAAATATCCTCTCAAATGTTCTCACTCAATGCATTGGCCAATGGCCCGACGACGCTGCAAACCTTCCAGCCCATGAATCGTGGTTTGTCCAATTCGACGGCTCCTTCCCCTCAGTTATCCTCCCCCATATGTACCTGGGCTCCCTACAGCACGCAAATAATGTCAAGATGCTGGTCACCCTTGGCATCAAGCGCGTCATTAGCGTTGGCGAGCCTCTTGCTTGGGTCGACTACAATGACTCAGAGCGCTCCCGCACGTTTTACTTTGACGAGGAGCACCAGCAGCAAGACCAAACCAACCAGGGTTACCAGATTGTCAACGCCCCCTATCCAGGCATTTCAAAAGTCCTACACGTGAAAGACGTCCAGGATAACGGAATGGACTCTCTTACCCCGTTTCTATCCACTTGCTTGGACTTTCTTGAAGAAGGCTTCAGGCTTCATGAACCAACTCTTGTCCACTGCAGAGTCGGCGTCTCGCGTTCCGCCACTGTCTGCATTGCAGAGGTCATGAAACGCTTAAGCGTTGGACTCCCAAGAGCTTACTTATTTGTGCGCGTCCGCAGATTAAATGTCATCATCCAGCCCCACCTTCGCTTCATGTTTGAGCTTGCTAAGTGGGAGGAGGAGCACCGCAAGTGCGGCCAGGGCTGGCTCCGCGAGGTCGACTGGCCCGTCCTGTGTCGCGAAATAAGTATCATGAACAAAGCCTATATTCCTGATAACTAGAGCACCACCTTCTCTCCATGTTTGTATTCTTTTTTTTTTTTTTTTTCTTCTTCTTTTTTTTTTTCTTTTATTTTTTGCTGTATTTTGCTTTTATCTTCCTTTTTTTTTGGTGTATTTTCCTTGTGTATCTTAATGAAAAAATATTTTATGTTCTTCTTGTCCATAACGTGAACCGGTACCGGAACCCGTTCTCCACAAGCTCAGGGTACTCCTCATCTCCAGAAGGCAGTTCGACCTGATCCACAGGCAATGCCAGCCGCAGCTCGCTCTCACTTTCTCGGCGCCAAAATCCGCTGCTACCTTGTTCGCCATGAGGGTACCACGCAAACCCTTCCTCAGGACCCAAAAACGTATCACACTCAATTGCTCCACCATTAGCTTGGTGATTTTTCTCCACGTTTTCAGTTCCGTCATCACGTACAACCTCTGTGAGAAGGACTCGGGTAGCTCGCGGACTACGTAGTGCTGCCGCATATACTTGGGCGCCGCCAATTACAAATACCTGGCGAGTGTGAGACTTTCCCTCCGTGGCCTGTGCCCACGGTCCATCCACAAACTCGAGTGCCTCAGCTAGTGAGCTAACAAACACAGCACCTGGTTTGTGCGCATGTTTTTCTCGTAATGCGTCTGCAGCCGATGTCAGCACCACGTTGATGCGTCCTGGCAGCGGCTGCATTTTGGGAGGTAATGAATCCCAGGTTCTGCGGCCCATGATGACCACATTTTGGTCGAGCTGTGTAGAAGCAGGATTGGAGCTGGAACTGGAACTTGAACTGGAACTAGAGCTGGGCACAGTGCCAGACAATGGGGGGTAGCGCGCAGTAGTTACCTGTTTGAAATACTTGAGCTCGCGCGAAAGCCGCCACGGAAGAGATCCGTTGAGTCCGATCCCTAGGTGGGGCACGGACGCAGCAAGGATGAGTGTAAGAGATGGTTTGGGAGTGCCTACCATATTTGATCTAAACTATAGGTATCTAGAAATCGGTGATTTTTGTAAGTAGAATAGAAAAAAAAAATTCTTTTGAATTGCTTCAGTATTGTATTTGGATATAGAAACAAGGGAAATAGTTTATGATGAAAATATAATTGATTGATTAATTAATTAATTGATTAGTTTGTTGACAGTTTGTTTATATAAATGTTTTTTTTTATTTTTTTTGGGAGCTAGAGACATATGGTTGACTAAAAAATAAACATGGCAACCAATGCCCTAACCCTTGATCTATTTAAATCTAGAATAAGGTAAAATTGACAAAAAAAAGTTACAAAGCCCTACGGGGGGCTCGAACCCCCAACCTTGAGATCAACTCTTATTAAGAGTCTCACGCTCTACCGATTGAGCTAGCAAGGCTATTATTTAAAAATGTAAAAGATCAACATGCGATCGATCGACCGGATAAACTAACATACAAGCGATCAACCGGATAAAAGAAACAAGCAATCAAGCGATCGAGATAAATAACTATAAACACTTTAAAGAACAAATATGCAATTGATCGAGATAATAATTATCGATAAATATTTGAGGATAAATACATTAATTTAGATTAAAGATTAAGAAGCGATTAAGAAGGAATTATTAAAGAGAATCGCTTGAATATATATAGTCATATATTTCCATAAGTTTTATCAGCATCTAAAAAGATATTTACATCAATACAATAAGTTTTATATTAAACTATTAGCTTGGTTCTTTCTTTGGACAATCCGACTTTACTCTCATACGATAACTCCATTACAATTTGGTAGCGATTTTCTTTATTATTTTATTACTCTCTTCAATTTATTCAATTTTATTCTCATTATTTATTCATCAACAATGTCTGGCCCTAACACTACTTTCTCTGCTCCTAACGATTCTCGTTTTGCTAAAACTGAACTTGGTGCCAATTTCCGCTCCAACAAACCTGCTCCCTATGCTGGAATTGAGGGTTCCTATGGCTCTCTTGATCAACGTTATGTCGCAAGGCATTTCTTACAGCGCTTTGAGTCTTACATGCTTACCACCAACGTTGGTCCTGGTGACTGGCCTCGTTGTATCGTTAACTTCCTTCAAGGCGAGATCTTCCACTACGCTGAAGCTTGGCAGAAGAACGTTGAGAACTTTGGTAAAACTTGGGATCAGTATAAACGAGAGTTCCTTGCTCGTGAACATCCACCCAATTTCCGTCATCAAGTTGTTACCCAGCTTCGTCAGGCTGCTATGAAACGTCTTTCCGTCGAAGATTTTGATGCTTATGTTAAAATTTTTCGCACTTGCCGTGGTATTCTGGACCCTAGAGAAGATGATATCCTTGATTTAGGTTCTGAAGAAGCCGTTAATGAATTTGTCCAAGGTCTTCACCCTTCAATTTATCAAGAATGGTACACCACTTGCTTAATGGATCTTGGAGATAGAACTCACATTCGTGAACGTCTTGATATCACCATGGAGGTTTGCCGTAACCATACTAGATCTTTGATGGCGCGCGCTAACCCTACCAAACCTATTACGAGTGCTACTGATTTTGCCGCCCTCGCTAGTTTGGATTACTATCCTGATGCGAAGTCTGATATTGTTGCTCCTGGTATTATCCCGAATGTTGTCAAGAAATCTGCAAACCCCTATCAACAGGCTGCTTTCGCCGATGATCCTATGGATATTGATGCCATCAACGTCAGTCCTGATGGAAATCCCCGCAGATACAAATACAACAATTTTTCGGACGTCAAAAGAAATTTTTCAAACAACAACTATTCTAATCGCAATTACTCTAATCGTGGATCCAACAACTTTAACCACAACAGTAGACAACGTCAATCTCCTGGACGTTCAGCCCGTCCTACCCGCAACAACAAGAGTCCTGTTAACAGTAACATCAGATGTTATAATTGTGGCAAACTTGGTCACAAGATGGTTGACTGCCGCTCAAAAAACGGCCTCTACCACGCCTAGAGGACGTGCGTGGTTATGGCAATAGAAAGTTCTCAAACCCTAAGACTCAGGTCTTCACTTGGCCCACGGTGATGGAAGCCGAGGAAGGGGACGCTGGTATGGAAACAGTTAATCATGGAGACGGTTTTGATGAGAGAATGAGGTCAACAATTAATCACGAAGGCAATGTCAAGGCCTATGAAGAAGAGAGAGAAGTTATCGTGGTTCCAAGTAAAAATCTGCACTTGGATAAAGGAAGAGAGAGAGAGAAGAGAAGGCAGTTTGAGTTAAACACCGAGTCGTTAAATAAAGGTGTCCATGTCAAACAACCCGAGGTTGCTAAAGCTGAGCATGCAGTTCCAATAATCAAAGAAGCCTCCCGGGTGCCTGTGCAAACCCATAGCTCAGTTGGGTCTACCGGTATTAGTGATGAAGCTACCTGCGCGCCGCGTGAGAAGAGTCTCCGCCAGTATATCGATATTGAGGATAACAGTTCCTCCAGTGAAGAATCGTCCTTGTCGTCCGACGATTACAACAACATTGACAACAACATTGACAACATCGACAACAACATTGACAACAACATCGACAACAACATCGACAACAACATCGACAACAACATCGACAACAACATTGACAACAACAATAACAACAAAGATATGTCAATGCCCACTTTTGATCAAAACATTGAAGACGCTTCTGAAATTGATTTAGCCGAGCAGATGCGCAAACTAGATGTCCAAACCACACCAATCATGGGACATTCTACACCCCGCAATGAGCTTTCGTTTGATCATTCAGTAGGGATCGGCCGCCCTATGCGTCAAATCAACACTATCGAACCAATGGAAATTTTACAACGTATTCCAACAAATTTTCATAAACAACCTGTTCTTTCAGATCTCAACTCTGTTAGTCCACAACAAAACCCTGAAGATTACAATCTTGATTCCGTCAGCATGAGTGTTGACGATGAGCTGTCCACATCAGCTAAACCCCCTGAAGCTAATATTCTTGATGCTTCTATTACTCGTGACCCTAATGAGATGGATATAAGTATGAAGTCTACCACTCTGGACTCTGATGAGATGGAAATAAGTATCAACGCTATTCACATTAACACCACCAACGATTACATTGCAACAACACCTCCACACAACAACTTTACTGGTAAATCATTTATTGCTGCTACTCAGGAAGACATCAACACTAAAGATCCTTTAGTGCTCAACAAAATTATTTTGCCCGCTTATCTTCAATTCCCAGATCAACAAATTTTTACACCTGCCCTAGTGGATTCTGGCGCTCCCGCACTTTTTGTCAAACTGGAAACAATCCAAAAGGCCAATCTGGATCACCTCTGTCAACCTTGCATCAAGCAACGGTTAGCCAACACTGCAATTGGTCCTGAAACTTCACGTCTTACTCACAAAATTTTGCTTACTATTGTTATTGGTGACATTTCTGTTACTGATATGTTTTTTGTTGCTAGTGAACTTTATCATGATGTTGTACTTGGTGTTCCTTTTATCAAAAATTTTTGGCAATTCATAGATTGGGAGTCTGATACTTTTAACAACATTGAGTCTATCACACCATCCGAGCTTTATGCTAACAAAGTTCAATTCGGTCGTCTTGCAAAATCTAGGGATAATTCCTTAGGTGTTTGTGTCATCAGAATGGAAAACGAACCTGGAGGGGAGGAAGGAGTATTACCAAAACAATTTTCGGAATTTAGTGATGTCGTAACAAACGACCCACCGGATAAACTACCACCACAAAAAGATATCTCACATCGAATTGATACCGTTCCCACAGCAAAAATCCCAGCAAAGCCACCATATCGTCTTTCACAACAAGAAAATAAAATTCTTACAACAGAAATCGAAAAACTCATCAAAACTGAATTTATTCGCCCATCGTCATCACCTTACAGTGCTCCTGTTCTTTTTGTCAAAAAGAAAGATGGTTCCATGCGTATGTGTATCGACTACCGTATGCTCAACAACATTACCATCAAGAACCGTTACCCATTACCCAACATTGATGACATTCTCAATCAACTACATGGTGCAAAGTTTTTCAGCAAACTTGATCTTCGCTCTGGTTATCATCAAATTCGTGTTTTTAATGACCACATTCATAAGACTGCTTTTTCAACAAACAATGGTCATTGGGAATTTTTAGTCATGCCTTTTGGACTAACCAATGCTCCTGCTACTTTTCAAAATTACATGAACGACATTTTTCGTCCTTATCTCAACCAATTTGTCGTTGTTTACCTGGATGATATTCTCATTTATTCTGAGTCTAGTGAAGAACATGAGAAACATGTCAGAATTGTCCTAGAACTACTTCGATCTAATCAATTAGTTGCTAGTCTAAAGAAGTGTGCTTTCTTTCGTGAATCACTTGAGTTTCTTGGTTTCCAAGTATCTACTAAAGGTATCTTGCCTACGGATGATAAAGTCAAAGCTATAAGAGATTTTCCTGTTCCTATAACACCTCACGATTGTATGCGTTTTATGGGTCTTGCTAATTTTTATCGACGTTTTGTTCCGCATTTTTCACAAATTGCTGCACCATTGACTACTTTTATGTCTCAACCCAAAGATACTAAGTGGACCCCCGTTGAACAAAAAGCCTTTGACAAGCTTAAGGATAAGCTTACCACTAGTCCTGTTCTTATCATACCCAATCCAGATGATCTCTTTGTCCTTACTACTGACGCTAGTAAAATTGGTATTGGTGCCACCTTAGAACAATTCGGAGTTCAAGGTAAAAAGCTTGGTGTCGTCGCTTATTTCTCCCGCAAGCTCGACAAAGCTCAACAAAACTATGCTGTCCAAGATTTGGAATTCTTGGCTATCGTCGAAGCTTTGAAGCATTTCCGCACTCTGTTATATGGCGTTCATTTCATTTTACGCACTGACCACATTTCCTTGACTCACTTACAGTCTCAAACTAAACAACCCACTGGTCGTATTGCACGATGGTTTGGTTTACTTGCTGAGTATGATTTTAGTATTCAGTACATCAAAGGAAAAACTAATGTCGCTGCGGATGCACTTAGCCGCATGTTCATTGAAGCTATTGAGCTTGATAACGATTTTGAGAAACTTTTACAACAAGTTCGCGATTCTTTAAAGTCTGATCCTTTCTTCGCTGATATCATTAGTCATTTGGAAGATTCGGATTCACCACTTCACGATCGTCTCAAAAAGCAATTTGAGTACGATGACGGTGTTCTTTATTTTATAAAGTTTACTACCATGGATGATCATCATCGCCGTCTTTGCATTCCTGCATCCCAACTTAGACAGTTGCTTATCTCTAAAGCACATAACCTGTCTCATTCTGGCCCTTATGCCACTTATCTTACATTAGCTGCTGACTATTATTGGCCCCACATGTTCCGCAACATCAAGCGTTTTATTCAAAGTTGTGATAACTGTCTACACAACAAACCTGAGCAACGCAAAACACAAGGTCTGCTACAACCACTGGAAGTTCCTGAGAACCGCTGGTCTTCAGTTTCTATGGATTTTATTACTGGCATTCCTATGTCCGAGGATTTTGATATGATTTTAGTAGTCGTTGACCGCCTTACCAAACGCGCTCATTTTATCGCAACTACTACTACCTTAGATGGCCCTAAGCTAGCCCAGCTTTTTATGCGCGAAGTTACTCGCTTACATGGATATCCCACAGAAATTGTTTCGGATAGAGATGTTCGTTTCTCTACATTCTGGACTGCTTTTACCAAGTCCTGGGGTACGAAGCTATGCAAGTCTACTGCTTATCACCCACAGTCTGATGGTCAAACAGAACGTATTAATCGGATTCTAAGACAACTTTTACGCTCTTACTGTTATGACAATGGACTTGATTGGTTTTATTATCTTGACCAAGTAGAATTTGCTTACAATTCCGCACCACAGTCTACTATTAAGACATCTCCATTTGTCGCTGATCTTGGCTTTCTACCTCGCCAACCTGCAATGATCCGTCCACCATTGGATGCTCGTACACCCTCAAACGTGGAAAGTCTACAAGTCAAACTGAAAGCTATTCTGTTACGTACTCAAGAGTACATGAGTTTCTCACAGTTGAGTCAACAACGACAAGCTGACAAGCATCGTCGTCCTGTGGAAATTAAAGTTGGTGATTCTGTTCTTATCCACCACACTAGTTTTCAGAGCCCCAACAATAGGATGCTGCCACTTTTCGTCGGTCCATACACCGCCGTTAAAGCAATTGGGGGAGGAAATGCGTTTGAATTGGACTTACCCACTACTGTGAAGAACAACCGTGTTTTTAATGTTTCGAAATTACGCAAATATGTCAAATCTGATGAATACCCTGCCGAGATTAGACCTACTGAGGATTATGTTAAGAAGAACTTGAACCGCATTGCTAGCGTAGCCTCTATGCAAAATGGTCTTGTCTATCTACAGTTCACAGATAGCCTATCTGGGCATTGCGTCGCTATTTCGACAAGTTTTTGGAATTCTATGCCTGCAGAAAAAAGGATACCATTATTCAAAGCTTACATGGCTAGAATCAAAGCTCGGGACGAGCTTTTATGAAGGAAGGGAAAGTTGTAAAAGATCAACATGCGATCGATCGACCGGATAAACTAACATACAAGCGATCAACCGGATAAAAGAAACAAGCAATCAAGCGATCGAGATAAATAACTATAAACACTTTAAAGAACAAATATGCAATCGATCGAGATAATAATTATCGATAAATATTTGAGGATAAATACATTAATTTAGATTAAAGATTAAGAAGCGATTAAGAAGGAATTATTAAAGAGAATCGCTTGAATATATATAGTCATATATTTCCATAAGTTTTATCAGCATCTAAAAAGATATTTACATCAATACAATAAGTTTTATATTAAACTATTAGCTTGGTTCTTTCTTTGGACAATCCGACTTTACTCTCATACGATAACTCCATTACAAAAAAACAAATTGGCTCAGTAGTATATTAAATACCTGTTTAAAAATTATAAAATAATTAAATTGTAACAAATTGAGTTATATAATTTTTATTCTATTTTTAAATACTTTGATAACTTTTTAATTTAAACTTAAATATATAAATGAGGCTTTTTTGCAGATTTTAAGAGAAAACAACATTTAGTTTTTATTATTTATTAACAAAAAAAAATTATTTCATAGATAACACAATAAACAGGGATGGTGGGGCATTCTCATCCGAAAATAATTTAGTTCCGACAATAACAGTAATGTAGATAGATTGCTTGAGTTATATCATTTTTTATATATTTAATGAATTCATTTTATAGTTTCTTGTTTAAAGGAGAAATATAGAAATATAGAAATATAGAAATATAGAAATATAGAAATATAGAAATATAGAAATATAGAAATATAGAAATATAGAAATATAGAAATATAGAAATATAGAAATATAGAAATATAGAAATATAGGAATACGTTTTTTTATTTAAAATATTGTATTAAAAAAAAGTGAAGAATCACTTTGTCTTTACCACAATTTTGCACAATTGTAATTGCGTCGTCACAAAGGTGTTATTATTAATCTTTTTTTTTTTGAATGATTTACAAACCCCATATTAAAACAAGCGATCTTACCATAGAAAATCATTATTAAAATATGTTTTAACAGTGATTAGAATTGATTAGTGCCTAAGTTTCAAGAGAAAAAAAATTTAGTTCCTATCTATTTAAAGTATTATTTCCCCAATTGTTATATATATGTACATAAAATCAATTATCCGAAAACAAAAAAAAAATTGTTGCTATCAGACAGTCAAGCTTATCTTGAATAACAAGAAAGCGAGTTGAAATTATTAAACTATTTTAGTTTTATTATTTCGATTATTTCAATTATTTCAATTAACAAATATCTTCTACTATTGTCCTTTAATCTATATAGTTTACAACTTGAGCGACTATTCTAGTATAATTAATTGACCTCAAACTAATCACTTTTGTCACACTTGAATAAAATGGAAATGGTTGGGTTGTGATAGTTCAATCAATTACCGGGCTGATAAGATTAACTGGTTTGCTATTGAGTTGTTTGTCTGTTTATGGGCTAGGGTTGTAATTCAGCCTTGCATTCCAAAAAATGCAAATAATTACGTAATATTGTATAAAAAAATATTATTAACAGCACGTGACTGTTAAAAGATTGGATCGGTCTATTGTTTCTTGTAGACTTGAACAAGGAATACATAGTACCGTTAAGTTTTAATAACTTGACAATTGAATCAATAATTATTTTTTTTTAATCTTTTAATCTTTAATATATTTAAATGTTTTTTTTTTTGATACGTGCGCAGTTAATTTTCATTCAAATTGTGTGTAATTTAAAAAGTCTTGTATTAAGTCAAAAAAAAAAAAAAAAAAAAAAAACTCACTCAATTGTTTTGACTTGTCTTTTTCATTACCCAAACTTCTTTCTCTTTTTGTTTATCCAAACTTAAGACTTAGACTTAGACTTATTCCCTAGGCCTTTGTTTTTTTTTTTTTTATTTTATTCTTTTTAAAAAAAAACGAAAAAAGGGATGTTAGTTGGAAAAAACAACCCACTCGCGTGACTCCAACCAATCACTTTCTTTTGGTCTAAGCTTACTGAGTATGAATTTTTTTCTTTTTTTTTTCGGATATATATATATATATAGGGTCCCAATAAATAAATAAAAAAATAAAAAATAACTTTTATTTTCGTTTTTTATTTATTTTCCCCCCGCCTTTAAAAGCTGCTGATTGTTCAATAAGGTGTTATTTTCTTGACCAATCATTTACATCTATATATATATATATATATATTTTTTCATTAATCTATATCATTTTTTTTCATGGTTATTCTTAAATATAAACATATATTTTTCAATCTTTTGAATTTACTATTTCCATTGTTTTTTTTTCTTTTACTTTCTCTTTCTCGTATATTCAAACAAATTGAGGAAAAATTTCTCGGATTCCGAAAAAAGCCTCTTCTATCTTCCCACACACATACACACACACACACACACACACACACACACATTTATTTAAACACTTAAACAATTCGCTTTGACCAGACCTAAATATTATGTGATATTATTTACTCTCATATTCTGAAAATTACGCTTGTAGCTATTTGACCTTGTGGTCTTGTCTTTTGAATAAATGAAGAAACCTGTAAAAGTTTTGATTTCACAATAGTTAAATAAATAAATAATAATAATAATAATAATAAATTCTTTTAATATATATATATATATAATTCATTCTTAAATTTCCATCAACTGCCCTTTAAAACTTCCCCTCCTTGATCTTGTTTGTCTTTCTGCTTGCCTGCTATCCTGCCTGCCAGTCGCCGCTTAGCAAAAAGGACGCCCATCAGTGTAACAAAACAGCCTGACTTTTTTTTTGGTTTTTTTGTTTTATGTAAGAGACTTTATAGCAAGCATGTAGACTTTAAAAAAAAAAAAAAAAAAAAAAAAACTTTTAAGCACCACCACCTAAAAACTCATCACCACTATACCTTAAAAAAAAAAATAAACCCAACACCACTGCCACCACCCACAAATCCTATTCAGCTTTCTATCCTTTTTCCCGTTTTTTTTTTTCTCTTTTCACAATCTCCATTATACAAATATCTCTTTTGTTTTTAATTTTTCATTAATAATGGCCTTTTGGAGGTTATCAAATACCTTCTCGACGGCCTCGCCGATCGATAAGATCCTCGACCAGCAAGACTTTACCCTGACAGACATTCTTCATGAGCCCGATGTCATCCAGGAACTCATTGCGCCCAATACAAAACTTGTCGAGTATCTCCGTGAACCAGAAACTATGCGTCAGCTTGTTAAGCTAGTTACCGATGTTCAGGTCAGAGAAGAAGAGCACGAAAAGAAACGGCTTTTGCAACAGCAGCAGCAGCAACAACAACAACAACAACAACAATCAGAAAAAGATGTAGAAATATCCCAAGAATCACCTACACTTGAAGAACCCTCTGCTGAAAATAGTAGGAAAGAAACTGATGAAAAAGCCAATCAACAAGACCAAAATGAACAAAACGAAGACGCTACTAATAATATTAATAATAATGAACAAAATGATTCTACGAAAAATACCTCGGATAATACCTCCAGTAATGATACACCTAACGAACCTAATGAATCTAACGACTCCAATGACTCTACTCAAAAAGATGATGATGAAAATGATGAACAAGAACAAAAATCCCAGCAAAACTTACCTCCATTAGCTGTCGACCTTTACAATGAAGAGGAAGAAGAAGACGAAGATGAAGACGCCACTGCTTTGCACTATGGCCATGTCGCCTCAGAGATCCTTTCTGCCGAAGTCTGGTCTATCACAGAAGCATTCATGGCCTGTCCAGAACTTTTGGAAGACCTTTGGAAGATCCTCGACCATGCTCCACCCTTGTTTATGGATTACGTCAACTACTTTACTAAAATCAACGAGGCCCTGCTGGACCGCAAAACAGACGAAATGCTGGCCTTTATCAAATCTCAAGACAATTTTGTTCAGAGATTTATGAAGCACGTTGACAATCCTCCTTTGATGGATTTTTTGCTCAAGGTCATTTCCTCAGACAAGCCAGAGGCCCCAACAGGAATCATTGAGGTGTGTATCTTTTTTATTTATTTATTTATTCATTCATTCATTCATTCATTCATTCATACTCATCATTTCTAACTACTAACTTGTCTAGTTTCTTCAACAACAATGTCTCATCCCCTCATTTATTGCGTTTCTTGGACCAAACGTCTCCCCATCAACCCAGTCTGCTGCTGGAGACTTCCTCAAGGCTTTTGTCGCCATTTCTGCAAACTCAAACTCGGACAATACTACCATTGGCCCCAATGAGCTTTCTCGTGAGCTTGTTTCCGAGCCTTGCATCAAGGAACTTGTTCGTCTCATGCTATTTGGCGGTACAGGACTTGCTACCGGTGTTGGTGTGGTAATTGAAATCATTCGTAAAAATAACTCGGATTATGACGCAACCCCAGTAATCAACACTACACTCGAGTCCCACCCGCCCTCATCGCGTGACCCCATCTATCTCGGAACCTTGGTCCAGATTTTTGCAGACAACATCCCAAACTTCCACAACATGCTGACCAAGCGCCACAACGAAATCCTCAAAACCCCCTTTGGTCAGATTGAGCCCTTGGGCTTTGAGCGATTCAAGATTTGCGAGCTCGTCGCTGAGTTGCTTCATTGCAGTAACATGGCTTTGCTTAATGATACTGCTGGTGCAGAGATTGTTCGAGTCCGTGATAAAGAACGCAATCGAATCAAGCGCATCATGCAGCGTGCTGCTGAAGGTGTTGATTACGATGAAAATGCTCTTTATGAAGATGAAGACGAGATCAAAGTCCATGCCAAAGAGCTGAATGAAGAAGAAGAAGAGCCTGAACACAAGCCTGAAGATGATGTAGCCATGGTTGACGTCAACAGCAACGATGTTGAAGAAAAACTCAAAACTCTTCAAGTCAATGAGTCCTCTGGTATTGAGCTTACGAGTCCCGATTATCCTAGCGCAAACCAGTTCCGTGAGGCACCTGTTGTTGGAGACAAGCTTAAACTTGCCTTGTATGACAACCAGGTGATTACCTACATTTTGAATATGTTTTTCCGGTTCCCCTGGAACAACTTTTTGCACAATGTTGTGTTTGATATTGTGCAGCAGGTTCTCAACGGCCCCATGAATGGTGGCTTCAACCGGTATCTTGCGATTGACTTGTTCCACAGTGGGCGTCTCATTTCGCTTATTTGCGAGGGCCAGCAACAGTGCGCAGAATACCAGTCTACCCACAAGACCCGCCTCGGGTATATGGGTCATTTGACGTTGATTTCCGAGGAGGTCGTCAAATTCACTGCAGTGTTTACACCAGCCTCTGTGTCGCCGATTGTGGAGAAGTGCGTTTCGGATGAAGCATGGGATTACTATGTGATGCACACTCTCACACGGATCCGTGAGCAGTACAATGCTATTTTGGGTGGCCAGGACGCTGAAGACTCGCCAATTCATACAAACCCAGATGCCATTATTCTGCGTAATGATGACCAGCCATTTGACGATGATGAAGAAGAGGAAGATGACGATGAGGACGACGACGACGATGATGACAATGAGGATAAACGGTTTGGGTACGAGGAGAATGGAGGAGATGACGACGGCGAATATGGCCGACGGGCACTGAGGAGCCCCGAGGATGGTGAGGGAGATTTCCAGCGCCGATCACGTCGTGGCAGTCGTGGTGAAGAGGAGGCTATAATGGGGTATGATGAAGATGAGTCTTCGAGCGATGAGGAGGATCAGGGTAGAGCCGGAAGACAATACGAAGGCGAGACTGCGCCGCTACAGCCCAAAAAGAGCAATGATTCCAGTGGGTCGGGTAAGGTGTTTTTGTTTGGGTCCAAAAGAAGTGATGATGAGGAAGAAGAGGAAGAAGATAATGATAATGATGATGAAGAAGAAGAAGATAATGATAATGATAAGGAAAAAAAGGGAGCGTATCACAGTGATGATGACGATGATGAGGAAGAGGAGGAGGAGGAAGAAGAAGAAGAAGAAGAAGAAGAAGAAGAAGAAGAACAGTCGACTGTTCCTGATGATGATGAAGATGAAGGGCTTGGACTTGTGCGCAGCCAGTCGCACCACGAAATGAATTGGAACCCAGAAGAAGCTCAGCGCATTGTGGAGACGTATCAGCGGGAAAAAGAGGCATCGCCTTGAGGTGAAGGGGGGTGAGATTGGAAAAGTAATAAGAGTCGAGATTGTTTTGGTGTTTTTTTTTTTTTTCTTCTTAATAATTATTTTTGTTATTTTAAAAAATTGAGAATAAAAAAAAAAAAAAAAAGAGAGATTTATATAATATATATAATAATTCTTTTATATATTCTGTTGTTGTTGTTTTTTCTTGATTTGCAGTGTTAAATAATTGTTAATTGCCAATTTTGTACAGAATAAAAAAAAATTAAATTAAATTAAAGATACTAGGTAAAATACCTTGTAACTTCAAATAGGTAACTCCATAAAAGACTTTACCACCACTTTGTTTTTTTTTTTTTCAATGATGAAAAACATACAACAAATCTTGATATTATAACCATCCAACCGAAGAAGACAAAAAAAATTAAAATAAATAAATAAAGACCCGCGGGTCCCGGGTTTAAAAAAAAAAAAAAAAAAAAAACGTGCTACTACATTACTACACTTCATAACCGGACGACCACCTATCTACTTCTCTTATAGTCCATCAAACACTTTACTACATTTTCTCCTCTTACAATGGCAAGTCCTCGTAAACCAATTGTCACAGCAGTTAATCCGTTTTGTGTACCGAATGGGGCATTGGCCGATGCAGATTCAGATTCAGATTCAGAAACTACGGCCTCAGTTTCAGAAACTTCAGATTCTGAGTCTGAGACTGGAGTTCCAATCAATATTGTGGTAACACCAGCAGTGTCTTCTTTATCAATATCCGAGGCACCTATGGACGACGATGCACAGACTTTTTCTTCAGGGTACCTCAGTTTCTCTGCATCATCATCTTCATCAACAACTACCACACATTTACAACTACCCCAGGGAGGATACTCAGGGATTGCACCGCCTTTGCCTCCATGGCGTAAACTGTTATGGGTTAAGCAACCGTACCCTGATAACTATGTGGATACCACGTTTTTGTCACAGCTTAAGCAAAACTCACACGTGCAGCCGTACACCTTCTGGGCCCTTAGTGCTGATTTCTCGTCTGTACTTGTACACTTGTGCACCGTCGTTCATTTCGTCATTGTGTTTGTGGGAATTTATGGCCAGGGATGGAGTCCCGTCAGGTTTGCCGGAGGTTCATGTGTGTTGACTGCCGGAGGATACTTATGGCTCCGGTATTATTTAATGGACGGCCAAAGTCTTGGTCCATCTTCGTCATCAGAGCCCGGCTCTCTGCTGGCTACTTTTAAATCGGCTTTACTCATTCTCTTTACAATCCTCGCTCTTTCACCCGTCCTTAAGTCTTTGACCCAATCAACATCTTCAGACTCTATCTGGGCCCTTGCTAGCTGGCTTGTTGTTGGAAATATTTTTGCCAACGATTATTCATCCACCTCCACAAGAGCCGTCACTACAGTTTTCAATGCCGATCAGGATATTGAACTTAAATCATCACTCTCTACAAACCTCGCCTTATCTGCTGCCATTGTGCTTGCATCCCGTTTACCAACAACCATCGCCGTATTTTCCTTCGTGCTCTTCTCTATCCAACTCTTTGGCGTCTTCCCGGCTTTTGTCAAACGTATTCGTGTAGCAAAGTCCCCCAAAGCTGCCAAGTCTTCCCCCACCGTCGCGCTACGCTACTCAAAAACATACTGGTCTCTACTCGCAACCTTAGTTACTACTACTTATATAGGACTCTGGCATATTTGCGCAGGTGCTGATCCGTGGTTCAAGCTGCTGGTCGGCGGTACATGGCTCGGCACCCAAGTGGCCGTCATGGTAGTGTTACCACTGTGGTTACTGACCCTTCAAAAGTACAAGAATGAAATCCAAGGGCCTTGGGACCCTGCTAAACCTGTTCTTCAAAATACTCGTATTTAAAAAAAAAAAAAAAAAAAATTGAAAAAAAAATTATATCAAAAAAAAAAAAATCATAGACTAAAAAATATTGACCAGCCTTCAAGACATAAAACCAACTATCTATATAAATCATGTAGTTCAGCCTCTAGCTGGTCAATCCGGTCCATGATCTTATCACCGCGATCCTTCTGTCCCATACCATAAAGCAACTGTGCACGTGCCATTTCTCGCTCAATCTGCGACTGTAGCTGTGCTAACTTCATCTGCTGCCTATTTGCCGCATCCCGTTTTGCAAGCGATGACTTGATGTGTTGCGCAAGCAGGAGTGCTGTTTCCTTAGCATTATCGCGATCTAATGGCTCACCAGTGAGAGATGACGAAGGATCCTTGTCCGACATGATTTTAAGAATCGACAGCAAGGTCGAGTGCATTTTTTCTTCATTCCCGTAAATCTCGTGCGGATCCGAACCCGAGCCACTGAGGGGCGATTGTGGAGCGTCCGAAGTATTGGCCAGTGAGAGTTCTGCAGGAGTTGCGGTGGAGGCCGGCGGGGACGGAGCCGAAAGAGACGTTGGGGGAGAAACAACAGCCGCAGCCAAGGACGAGATTGGTAAAGACAGATCGTAACGTTGGACAGGGCACATGCTAGTAGCAGCCGCAGCAGCCGCAGACATAAGTCCAGGAGCAACGCCAGCAGACCCGGAAACCATGGGACACATGGAAATGGGCATTCCTGAGAAGGAAGAAAAAGACGATGATCTGAGTCGTTTATGGGCATGCATGATTTGTTGCTGTTGTTGCTGTTGTTGCTGTTGAGACATGACCGAAGACGGCGATTGGGGTTGTGACGGTAGTTGCTGTTGCTGCTGCTGCTGCTGTTGTTGTTGTTGTTGCGGCTGCGGCTGCGGCTGCGGCTGCGGCTGAGAAGGCTGTTGCTGCTCTTTACCCTTTGATTTTATAAACGTCTCAATTTTAGGCAACCCAGACCCCGTGCGGCCCAAAGTATTTGTTGGAGATGGAGAGCGGTAAGTTGCACGAGAATCCTTAACATCTGTCAAAGGTTCCTTTGGTTGGATTGAAATAAAAGTTATAGGAGCCTCATCCTCTTGTGAAGAAGTATTTGAGTTGTTAGCACCAGAAGTTGTACGACGCTTAAACTTTGTATGATCAATGGGACAGCGGCGAGGGACTTGAGCTGAAGAAAGCTGTGGAGGTTGGTGTTGAGGGAGTGGTTGCAGTTGGGGGGGACCCGGGAGAGGCGACGACACAGAATCGTCGTCTTCTTCGGAAGTATGGTCATCCTGGGGAGTCCCGTGTAAAGCGGATAAATGGCCCGCAGCTGTTGACATATCATCATTAGTTGACGCCACAGAAGTATGTTGGTTTCCAGAAGTAGATGAAGGTGAAATTCCATTTGAAGAAGCAGCTGCAATACCAGCCATGAAAGTTTCAAACTGCAAAAAGTAAGGGAACTGATCAGTGATTTCATGTTGGAGACTGCGTGGGGCTGTTTGAAAAGAAGGTGCTCCTTGGGTGGCGAGTTTTTCACGCATGCGCTTATAGCATTTTTTAAGGTTCCGAATCTTGTGATCGCACTGCTTGGCGGTTTTCTGGCACCCGGAAACTGCTGTTTGCAAGTGCAAAGCAAGTCTTGGGAGCATTTTAGCAGTGGCTCTGCGCATGTGGTTGAAGTTATCGTCGTCGGCCAGCCAGCGCACGAGAGCATCAGTTTCACGCCGAGACCATGCGACATAATCTCTGCGAGAGGATGTAGTTGATGAAGAAGAAGAAGAAGAAGAAGAAGAAGAAGAAGAAGAAGAAGAAGAAGAAGAAGAAGAAATTAATGGAACAGTGTTGATGGAAGGTAGAGTTGTTGAAGGTGGTGGTGGTAGTAAAGAAGATGCTGGTGATTTACTATTGCTATTGCTACTGCTATTGCTACTACTATTACTGCTATTACTACTACTTATACTACTACTATTACTATTATTACCTCTGTTATTATTATTGCGATATTTGAGAGATCCTGAATTATGATGGTTAAGTTGAAGTGGTGGTAATGCTGGTGGAGAGTTTGTTTGTTGGTGATGGTGAAGATGGTTGTTATGATGGCCCGATACCAGTCCGGGCACCGGGCCGAGACTGGAAGGAGATGTGATGGTATTGTTGCTATTGTTGTTACTACTGTTACTATTGCTGATACTGCTAATACTGCTAATACTGCTGCTGGTTCCATTGCCAACAACAACAACAGATGTAGCAGCAGCAACAGCAGCAGCAGCAGCAGCAGCAGCAGAGCCTGGTGGAGTGTTTAGAATGGTTGGGTATGTTGAAGCTGGCGAGTGAGATGCAACGTGCCACCTAGTTTCCGATGACGATGAAGACATTATAGGAATGGGTAATGAAGAGTAGAATAGTAAATAATGCTAGATTATTTGATGAGAAATGATTTGTTTGTTTATATGTATATGATAAATTTAGGTATATCTAAAATACAAAAAAAATTAAAAAAAAAAAAAAAGGAATTCTGGTGTGTTGGATGTTGAATGGATAATGTCTTACGCCAGATAAATGTATGTGTGGTGATAGTGATGGTGATGGTGGTGGTGGTGGTGGTTGTAAGGATGAGAAATTTTATAAAAATATAAATAAAATAAAAAAAAAAAAATCTGGGAATGCGCGCGCTTTTTATACCGGCCAAAAAAAAAAAAATTCTTAGTAAGCAGAAGCTGCATACTTTACACACACACACACCAAAAAAAAAGCACAATTGCCATTTTGGGAAGTCAAGTGATTTTAGATTGATCTGATTAGATGTCATTTGCTTATTGGCTGGAGCTTAAAATTGTTAGTTGTAGTAAATAAAAAAGAAAAAAAAAAAACGGGGTATTAAATTAAATAAATATAAATATAATAACACCAACAACAATATTTTTATTCGTATTTGGTCGTGACAATAAAAAAAAAAAAAAAAAAAAAAAAAAAAAAGAGAGGCTTTACAAAGAAGGAAGTTATATAATTTTTTTGGAATTTAAATCATGATGATTTTTATATATATTTGTTTAATAGTAGAAAAGCTTAAGAGAAAATTATGGAGAATGAGGAGGAAGAGGGTGTTTAATTCCTTTTTTATTTTTTATTTTTTATTTTTTTCTCTTATAAAGTAAATATATTTTGACAGATATTTATTTCAAAAAATAAAAAAAAAGTTAATAATAATAATCTATAAGAATTCATAATTCATATGAATTTAAATATATATATATCCCTATTTTAGTAACTTCTTTTTTCTTCTTCTTCTTTATTATTCCCGTCCATTGGACTTTAAAAAACATATATGCATTCTCATTTTTTCTTTTTTTTGTGTGTCACATAAATAAATAAATCCATGTACTGTACAGACATAAAAAAAAAAATTCCGTATTTCTTCACCGTTGGTGCCAGTCACAAAAATATTCAAAGCTCATTCAATATTTATTTAAATCTTTATTAATAAATTTAAAAATAAAAATAAAAATAAAAATAAAAATAAAAATAAAAATAAAAATAAAAATAAAAATAAAAATAAAAATAAAAACAGTTTTAAAGCTTTCATTCCCTCGGCCGGCATACGGTCATTTGTAATCATCCGAAAAAAAAAAAAAAAAAAAAAAAGCATTTAGGTCCCTTATAGAATATATAGAATACATATATATATGCTTAAAATTATTCTTTAGGAAAATTATAGATATATTACAAACCCTATATAATCGTGCGATCGGTACGAGACTTTTCTTTTTTTTTTTTTTATCCTCATCATCTTCAAGTAAGTTTGAAATATATAAAAAGTTTGAGGTTAGACCAATTATTTATTTCGAAAAAAAAAAAATAAAATAAAATAAAATAAAAAGTTTTTAATAATTAAATTATTATACTTGTTAAACCCGTCAATCTGCCAAGGACAAAAAAAAAAAAGGCTTTCATTTTCCTATTCTATTTTAATCAGATTGTCTCTGTTAAGCGGGGTATTTTCTTTATTCATTCTTAATTAGCACAATTTATATATTTATATAAACTTTTAAATATTTGAATTTATATTACAATAAGTAAAAAAAAAATCCACTATTTAATACCAACCACCACATTAAAACAATCCAAGATTTCTCAGTTATTAAAAAAATATATACATATCTCTAAATTCCCAAAGTTTATATATAAATTATCATCATTATACAAAATATGAAAACCTCCTTTCGGTTCCAAGGATTTATAAAAAAAAAAATTTTAAAAAAAAAAAATTGTAATGGAAAAATATTTCCTCTTCTTCTTTTGTTTGTTTCAATTTAGGAAATGTAAAAATCCCAATATGCCTTTTAATACTTCTTGTCTCATTTAAAAAAAAAAAAAAAAAAAAAAAAAAACTTCATCAATGAAAATCTTAAACGGTATCGCTAACGGTTATGGCTAACAACCATCAAATTCAAAATCACATTCATGGCACAACACAACACAGCACTCCAATTCATATCATATTTCATTGTAACCCTTTCTATTCTTTTAACTTCTTTTCTTCTTCTTCAACATCATCCACTTCTTCTTCTTCTTCTTCCTCCACAACCTCCACTTCAACCTCTTCTAGTTCTTCCTCTAGTTCTTCCTCTAGTTCTTCCTCTAGTTCTTCCTCTAGTTCTTCCTCTAGTTCTTCATCATCCCAATACTCTTCACCACATCCTTCTTCTTCTTCTTTTTCTTCTTCTTCTTTTTCTTCTTCTCCTTCTCGATTTCCACAACATCCCTCTATTCCTCCTCTTCTTCTTCTTCTTCTTCCTCCTCCTCCTCCTCCTCCTCCAACTGGTACTCCCACTAAACTTTTTAAACTCGCCAAGTCCTGCGTCATCTTATCAAAAACTCCATGCAAATCTGCAATCTCAGCCTCTATAAACGGCGCAACCCCTAATTGCTCCCACTCTGGTGGGCCACCACCATTCCCAGATGATGATGACATCAACCCACTACTACCACTACTACCACTACTACCACTACTACCCACAAGCCGTCCTCCAAATCCTCCAGGCTCATCCCCATTACATCCAAAAGCAGCAAGACGAACCCGTAACCTCACTATCTGAACCTCTTGCTCTCGTAGATACGCCTTGGCCTGCTCCAGTTCCCGTAAAACTCGCTCCATGGCTACCCGCTTGGCACCGGCTCGTGACGACGGTTCAGTCACCTGAGCAGCCACTGCATCATGATACATATCTGAAACCGCAGCAAGAACAAGTACATCCATATAGGTCAACAATTGCACAAGTTTCCGTAGTAAATCATCCAATTGTACTAATAATGGCACCGGGCCATTATGTTGTTGTTGTTGTTGTGGTTGCCGCTGCTGCTGCTGCTGTGAATCGTTTGATGAAGACCCCCATTGGTCCCCATGTCCAGATACTGGACCTTGCCATGTTCCAGAAGAAAATAAATGTGCATAGAGTCTCTGTTTGTCAATCGTTCGACTCGTAATAAAACTGTAAGCTTCTTCTTCTTCCTCTTCTTCTTCTTCATCGTCATCATCCTCATATTCCTCTTCTTCTTCTTCTTCTTCTTCTTCTTCTTCTTCTTCTTCTTCTTCTTCTTCTTCTTCTTCTTCTTCTTCTTCTTCTTCTTCTTCTTCTTCTTCTTCTTCTTCTTCTTCTTCTTCTTCGCGTAACCCACGAGACCCCTCACTACCAGTGGTATCTTCGAAATCACTTCCAACATCTTCTGATATCACAGAAACAGTAGGAATAATGTTTCGCCGTCGACCGGCCCCCCGTGTACCTGCCATAGCTCCTGCCATAGCTCCAGCCATAGCTCCCGCTACAGCTCCAGCCACGACTCCAGGCAACATTCCTGCCACCACTGGTGTACCATCTGCATTAAGAGTCACACGCCGCGCACGTTGTCCTCCTCTTCTGCGTCTCCGTCGTCGTCTTCTTTGAGACTGTGACGGTTGTTGTTGTTGCTGTTGTTGCTGTAGCTGTTGTTGCTGTAGCTGTTGCTGTAGTTGTTGTTGTAGTTGCTGCGGTCCTGTTGGTATCTGATCACTGAGTATGTGTGAATGGCCATGGTGATCATGATTGTGACCATGGTTATGGCTATGGTTATGGCTATGGCTGTGAGCTTTTACTGCTGGGTAATACTCGCATGATATTATAGTTTCAGACCGAGTGTTACTAGAGTGGCTGCTGGTCCTCATGGTTTTACTCATGTGTGGATAGATTTCAAAGTTTCCTTTATTTGAATTGTTGATAATGAGAAATTATAAAACTATTAAATAATCAGTTTTTTGTTTATTATTATTTTGCTGTTTTACTGTAGGTTAACAAGCTAGTTTTCTGGTTGTATATGTTGTGATAGTTATTTGATCTGATTTGGTATGTGTTGGTGTTAAATTTTTGGTTATGGTTATGGTGGTGGTGAATCAATTTTTGCCTAAAGAAAAAAAAAAATTTTACTTACCCACCACAACCTGTATATGCCTAAAGCGATGAGCCGCTGAAAACTTTTTTTATGGCAATTTAACCATTTTAGGTTGTGTTATATTTAACCAGATTGCTTATTGATTAATTTCAAAATAACTATTCTTAAAATTGTAGTCTGCAGCTCAACGGTATTTCTCAAGTGATGTGTATGAATATTTATTCAATATATATATCGGGTCTTTACAGCCCTGGATCTTCAGATGCAAATTTAAATGTAAAATATATATATATATATATATATAATATAAAATGATAATAAAAATAAAAATAAAAATAAAAATTATCATAAAAAAACACAAAAGCAATAAAAAAATTTATTGCCAATGAAGCAAGTTTTCTATTTAAGGAATTAAAAATTCTCATAAATGAATGAAAAAGTTTTTTGTAATTTGTTATTTCTTTAGAAATGCTAAGCCCTTGGTATTAATTATTGTAGTAGTTACTACATAATATATATATATATATATATGGGATAAGACTTATATCGGTCCGGTTATTGTCCTACACTAGCCAAGAAAATATAAAAGTCCTAGTTATTTCTTTTTTTGCTTGAACAAAAGTCTTTTATATTAATAAAAGTAATTTGGAATTCTCTAAAAAATTATATTTTTTTTATTAGAATTTTTATAAAAATCGATAAAAAAAGACTTTACTTAAAGACAAAATTATAATAACAATAATAATGAAAATTCTGAAAAATATTGAGTTTTCCAAATGAAAAAAAAAAACTGACTAAGAATTACTAATGCATATTTTGATTGTTTGTAATTTCTAATTTTAGGCACTATGATTGCCAAGTCTAAAATTCCTCTAAAGTTTATCTACACATATATTTGTTTCATATTTAAATTCTCCATCAAAACATAAAAAAAAACCTATCCTTAACACAATTGAGGTTACTTGCAAGTAAATATGATTTTAAAATCTAAAAAATAAATAACAAAAAGTAATTCTCCGACACGGGGAATCGAACCCCGATTTCCACGGTGAGAGCGTGAGGTGATAACCATTACACTATATCGGACTTTTCCTAAAATCATAAATTTTAATAGAGTTCTATTAGGGCCAAAATACTTTTACATAAGTTTTCAACATTAATTGGAAATTTTTATACTTGAATAAAAACAAACAAACAAACAAACGAAATTTTTACACAATAGCTCATAACTCTTTATTTTTACTCATTATGAATAATTCAAACTTGCTAATTTTTATTAAGTTTTCATTAAAAAAATTTTTTTTCCCTAAACTTTAAAATAAAATTTGTATATACTATATCTCAGCAATTTTCCATTATTCGTAAAAAAAAAGATTTTTTTTCTACGATTATCTCGATAATCTGATATATCCATAATATATATATATATATATATATATATAGTATTTTATTACGTCTTCAAAGCATTATCCTTTCCAAACCCTTTGATTTTGCTTTTTTTTCTCTTTATTTTAAAACATAAATTTAAGTCGTCACTCAAAACCCTCTTCGTTTGCTTCTTCATTCTTTTTGGCATTGTTCAAACTAGCAATTGTGTCTTACGTCTGATAAACCTACAAGTCCTGCATTTTTGTTCTTTTGATATATATATTATTTTTGGCACTCTTCTCTCTTTCTCGTTTGTCATCATAGTCATTCGTATATCACAGATACCTCAATTTGGTAGAGTTACTAAATTATCTGTTGCCAATTGACTAGCTGCTCATGGGTTTTCTCATAGCAAAGTACACATAACCGGGCACGTTCTTCCGCCCTTTTTTTTTTCTCTCTCTCTCCTTACGTGGATATTAAAAACACTCAAAGGCTTTTCTTTCTTATCCTATACTTTATCAATAGTACATGCGCATGCATATTACTCAAAAAAAAAAAAAAAAAAAACAATACAAATAAGCTTATGCTTATGTGCAACAATGAAGTTTATGTATGTTTGTGTGTGCTACTAATAACTTATTTCCCTTTTTGGTCTTATCTTTCGGAAAATCTAACTTGTGTTTACATACATTGAGGTTTTTTTAAAAAAAAAAGTGCATAGCGAGACTTTTTGCTTGTTTACTTTTGGTTAGTCGTATGTTTTGTGATAAATTCTAGGTAAATATACATGAAAATACCAGTCACTAAAGTAACTACGTATGCCTAATGGTTTGTTTATTTTTCTTCAGAAAAAAAAGAGCTGTTTGCTGTTTGCTGTTCGCATAGTTCGTGATTTTTTTAAAAAAGAAAAAAAAGAAAAAGAAAAACGAAACCCCCACAACATCAATCTCTCCTCCAATGCCTTAGCCTTTTCTTGGTAACATGGTAGGTATTCTATCCATCCAAGGAAACTGAAATGAGTACCTTTATTTTACTGTCTCATATGGTGACACATATTGCAAACTTATTTCTTAGTGACAAATGACGAATGACAAAACTAAAAAAAAAAAATTAGCAGAAAATGAGCAGTTTTTTTTAGCAGGTAGTGGTGGAAATGTTACTTTAGAATAATTAAGACTTTTTGTATTCTTAATATGAAGATAAAGTAAAATCTTTTAAATTAATTAAAATAAAACCTAATTTCTATTGTATTTTTTAAAATTTTATATTCAAAAATCAATTTTCTTGTTTTTAATTAATATTAAAAAAATAAAACAAACTTATTTGTTTGTTTGTTTGTTTGTTTTTATTCAAGGGTTATAGAATTATATAACATCAGCGTCTGCGCTATCCTTCTTGTCCATACTATATATTTAAAACAAGCTTAAAATTGTTTGTTTGTTTGTTTTTATTCAAGGGTTATAGAATTATATAACATCAGCATCTGCGCTATCCTTCTTGTCCATACTATATATTTTTTCATTTTGATAATAAACTTTTAATTTTGGCTTCAACATTGCATCTCCAACAGCCCGAAAATAAGTCCTGATGCCAGCTTACGAGGAACAGGGGGTTAAAAATAACCAAACCTTCCCAACTTATCACCACTTGTCTTCATCAACGCTGTAATTGTATTTCTTAATCCCTCCAAGCAGAGATAAAGCTTACAATTTCTTGTAAGCAAGTTAAACTGTTTAAAAAAGTCAACATGTTCATCTCTGAAGACAAAATACAACTTTAAAATGCTTAAAGATTTTTTCTTTTTAAGGTATGTGTATGTAATGTACTTTTCATTTCTTTTGGTTTTACAACTAAAGCGTTAGTGGTTTAGCGGTAAAATTCGTCGTTGCCATCGACGAGCCCCCGGTTCGACTCCGGGCTGACGCAAAACAGTTATTTTTTTAATTCTTTCTTTTTTTTATTCATTTGAATTATAAAATAGTGCACGTTTGTTGTTTTAATTTTTTTTTTTTTTTATATTCTCGTTAAAGTACTTTTTTTTCTTTGTACTGGTTTTGGCCTGGTAACTTTAATTTTATTTTATTTTTTTTAATATTACTGTTCAACAATATTAATTTCTTTTAATTTTCACTGAAATCAATCCCGGATTATTTGCTTAAACTTCACAGTTAAAGGTGCAAATTTGTTTTTTTTTTTTCTTCTGCAACAATTGTTTTTATTTCGTTCAAGATTTCAAAAAAAAAAAAAAAATTATTGTAATATAGCATTGGCATTTTTATTATCACTTTGTTGTTAAAGTATAATTACAATGTTTGTCATTTTTTGATGTGTTATTTTGAAAGCATTCAACTAGAGCTAAGCACGTTTTTTTTATATATATTTATGTTCAAAATGAAGGCTCAGTGTCAGCTAAGAAATTGGAAAGACTTTTTTATTCCACTCGAGAACATATTTGATCTCATCTTGCATTAATCTTTCTAATCATTATTACATTTTACTTTAAATTCATATTGATATTCCAGTCTAATAATTGTATTATTCATTTCCATCCCTCTGACTCTCATTATTTGTCAATTTTATTGCACCAAAGTCAGTAGCAACAGTTTAATTTAATTTTCAATTAATAGCGACATGGCGCAGAGGAAGCGCGCAGGGCTCATAACCCTGATGTCCTTGGATCGAAACCAAGTGTCGCTAATCATCTTTACTTTTTGTTAATGGTTTCTTTCTTTCTTTTTTTTTTTTTTCACTTGATTGAGATTGTTTGGTTTCTATGGTTTTTGTGGTGTATGTATGGTGGGGTGTGTGTATGAAAATATATCCAGCTCCTCAAATATGGTGGTGGGTTATTACCATACATATATAACTATTTATTTTATGCAAGCTATTAAGCACTTGTATAGTCTTAGCATATATATATAGCGAACCTTTAAATTCTTTAAGCCACTTTAGGCTTAAACTACCTTCTTACAAACTTGACAAATCTGCTAGGATACAAAATCAATCCTTTTAGTCTTTATACTGGGTTTCTCGTATAGAATACCATACAAATTCTCTCTAATCTACAACCCAAGTCCACTATTTACTACTAGGTCTTGTTTTTACTCAGTGACCCTTTTTATTTTATTAAAAAAAAAAAAATACATCTATTCTGGTTTCAAGATGACAATAATACAAGGCAAATTGCCCAAAAATTTAAAACCAAACGAGTTTTGTTTCGTATTTGGGGTTACTTCAAAAGCGGCTGTATCCACCAATGAGTCATTTATTGATACATAAAACGTTTTATTTCTATCGATTCGATTATTTATTTTTATTTATTTTTATTTATTTTTGAAACTTTGCCTCTTTCTTTTGAGTGCCCATGAAAAAAACGGGTGATTGGTTATTAAATTATAGAAAATGAATTAAAATTAAACATACTATAATTTGATTTTACTTTGAATAATGATTTAGAATATATATATTTGATTGTTTGCTGGTTTTTTTTTTATTGAGAAAAAAATTAGTTACACTGAAGATATCACTTTAATCCAAACAAACGTACTAGTTTAAAGATGATTTTAAAAAAAGGGTGATTAAGAAATTAAAAGATAATTAGAAAAAAAAAAAAGAGAATTGATGGGAATGGAGGTTTGATAATTCTCTGAAAAATCTTTTTTCTTTTTATTTTTTTTCAAACATCTTCATTCCAGTTAATATATAAATAATTAGATTAGAAATATGATTATTTTATCAAAAAGTAAATCAAGTTAAAAAAACTAATAATTATAAAAAAAAAAAAAAATAACACCTTTTATTATTTTTAAAATAATAATAATAAAAAAATTACAAAGCCCTACGGGGGGCTCGAACCCCCAACCTTGAGATAAACTCTTATTAAGAGTCTCACGCTCTACCGATTGAGCTAGCAAGGCTGAATTTAATTAGCCAATTCTTAAAAAAATGATTGCGTAGAGGTATATTTCAATAATGGGCTATAATTTGATAGTAAACAAAAACTCTGTGCGCCTGGATAAGGATAGCGCAGATGCTGATGTTATATAATTCTATAACCCTTGAATAAAAACAAACAAACAAACAAGTGCGCCTGGAGGAAGGATATCATAGATCCTGATGTTATATAATTCTATAACCTTTGAATAAAACGTGTTTCAGGAGTTTTAATTTTTAAATTAAATACGGAAAAAAAAAAACCAAAAATTATTTTCTTAATTTTTATTAAAAAAAAAAAAATAAATTAGCTTGAAACAACAATATCAGCAACTTGCAGACGTTTGTAAATTCATAAAAACGGGTTCTTTATTCTCATGTTAAAAAATAAAATTTTCTTCAAATTAAGTCAAAAATTTTTATACTAATATATATAAACACTTCTTTCTTAGCCAATATATATATATATATTTGTCATTAATTAATTAATTCACCCTTTTATACACTTACACCTTCACCTTTTAAACCATCTCCAGCACTAGTCCCATCCCTGCTATCTCCATTCCGGTCCAGACCACGTTTCTGTCTTGCAATTTCTTTCTTACAATCACGACAAAACCATTGGCCCTCGGGGGGAGAACTTAACCCAATACACGGTAGATGAAACCATTCCTTTTTACAGTGAGGACCATCACATGCTACCATCTCGCCATATGAAACTTGTTGACAGTAACAATACACCAGCTCTGATTCACCAGAATTCGACACAGCAGCAGCAGCAGCAGCAGCAGCAGCAGCAGCAGCAGCAGCGTCAGCAGCAGCGTCAGCGTCAGCGTCAGCGTCAGCAGCAGCATCAGCGTTAGCTTTGGAAGATGAATTCTTTGAAGAACTCGAAGGGTTATTTGAGTGTGGCCGACGGCTACCACTTGTAGAAGAGTTTGCACCGGTATCTTCATCTTCATCATTTTCATCTTCTTCATCCATTTCAGCTTCATCGTCATCATCCAGCATATCATCTTCATTTTCTGCTGGAGCATTAGATGCTCCGCTTCTTTCACTGTTCTTTTTGCTTTTCCTTGAAGATGAAGAAGATGCCGATGTTGAAGAAGAGGAAGAAGAAGATGCAGGTCCACCAACAATCTTTTTCTTTTTGATTGAACCACTACTACTTCCTCCAGATCCAGATGTTCCCCCACTCACAGAATTGCCAGATCCCTGGCCTGTCGATGCGTTTGGTCCTCCTGCTGCATTGGCTGAAGATGATGTAGAAGCTGCAGACCCACTTCCTGATTTTTTCTTTTGCGAAGAGCTGGATGATGATGAAGAGGACGTTGACTGGCCAGTATTTGATTTTTTCAATGATCTTCCTTCTTCATGTTCATCATGTTCATCATCATCATCTGTGACAGGGCCACGCCGCGCCGACCGTTCACTCTTATTATGCTCATCCTGGGTACTGGTAGTGCTATTTCGTTTCCTCTTGTTGTTATTAGATTGTGTTTGGTTAACGGAGCTACTTGTAGCACTGTTGTTGCGTTTGCGATCTTCTGAGTTTTTATTTTTTGTTGACGACGATGATGATGATCCGGACCCTCCTGTGGTTGAGTTTGTTCCCTTTTGGTTGCCTGATATTTCTGCGCCGTGGTTAGTTGAGTGTGAATTATTTGTATTGCGTCCGCTATTTCCAGACGTCGCGGTCCCAGTTGCAGCAGCTGTTTTGCGTCGTTTGGAAGATGTAGATGTCCCAGAGGCATTTCCAGACTTGTTGCCTCGGGATGTTGATGATGATGACTTTGAGTCTCCATCTGCACGTGGCGTTCCTGTGCGGCCTGCACCGGAAGACGCGCCACCATTGGCAGCAGCAGCGGCAGCAGCAGCAGCTGCACTTCCCACGGCGGCAGCGGCAGCAGTAGCAGCAGCTTGGGTTTGGGCCTGGGCTTGAGCGGCAGCTGCAGCAGCAGCCTTTTTAGCTGCCATTGCTTCTCTTCGGGCTTCTGAGCGGGTATTATGGGCTTGTTTTTGTTCAGCGGCTGTGACTATGGGGAGGTAAGCTGGATGGATTTTAGGGCCGTAACGGATTTCATGGGGGATTTCATTATTTGCGACAATGAGTTTATCAAAGTCATAATCGAGACGTGCTACGTGGCGTGCAATGGCATCGGCAGCGACTCCTGCAACATGCATTTTTTCCTCTAGACAGGGCATGAGTTCACGAATGAGCTGGCGGATATTGGCTAGAACCTTTTCACGTTCACGAGCCAATTCTGCAATTTTGTTTTGGGCAGCGAGTGAGATTTTGTTTGGTCCACCGGCTAGTTCGGCGGCAGCTTCCAGGGCTCTTGCTGGGAGAGGCATGTCGAGAAAGTATTTGATGAGACGGGTGAGTTCTGGGGTGGTGGTGACACATTTTGCATCGATTTCGCGGAGGAGGGTAAAGTGACGGATGATTTCCATGGGTAAAGCTTCGAGCGCGTCTGCCATATCATTTAGGCCTGGATAATGGGAAGGTTTAGATGGAAGTTGTTGTTGTTGTTGTTGTTGTTGCTGTTGGGAGAGATGTGATGTAGGGTTGTTATTATTTTGAGCTGATTGTTGTTGCTGCTGTTGCTGTTGCTGTTGTTGTTGAGAGACTGTTTGTTTGGTCTCGATTAGAATAGCATCTTGGGATCCATCGTCTACGGGGATTGGAGTAGCAGGACGGGAGTTTGATTGTTCTAATTTAGAAGATTCACGGGAAGCTCTACTCTGGCGAGCACGAGTAGTTCCTGAGCGCCTTGTGGATGTTTCAGCGGCCATTTGTGAAATTTTTTTTTTTTTTTTTTGATATTTGTTGATAGATAGAATGGGGATATTGAGAGTGGAGCAAATGAAGGAAAAAATAAAATAAAAAAAAAAAAAAAATTTGGGAATGGAGGTTTTTTATTTTATTTTATTTTATTTTATTTTATTTTATTTTATTTTATTTAATTTTTTAATTTTTTAATTTTTTAATTTTTTAATTTTTTAATTTTTTAATTTTTTAATGTAAAAAAAAAAAAAAAAAAAAAAAAATAAGTTAAAGTAAATGGAGTTACCCTGACTTTGAATAAAAAAAAAAAGCATTAAATCACTAACAATAATAATAACAACAACTACAACAACAATTAGATTAATAAAAAATAAACAAAGAGTTAATATATTTATGCAAATTGAATAAATTTAAGGGATTTTTGTTTGTTTGTTTGTTTTTATTCAAGGGTTATAGAATTATATAACATCAGAATCTGCGCTATCCTTCTTGTCCATACTATATATTTTTTCATTTTGATAATAAACTTTTAATTTTGGCTTCAATAGTGTATTTCTGACAGCCCAAAAATAAGTCCTGATGCCAGCTTACGAGGAACAGGGGGTTAAAAATAACCAAACCTTCCCAACCTATCTCCACTTGTCTTCATCAACGCTGTAATTGTATTTCTTAATCTCTCCAAGCAGAGATAAAGCTTACAATCTCTTGTAAGCCAGTTAAACTGTTTAAAAGAGTCGACATGTCCATCTCTGGAGATATCCGTTTCAGTCCTTTTCTTTCCTCTTCAAGCAAAGGACACTCAACTAAAATTAAGGGATTTTTTTATTTTTTTTAACAAAAGTAAAATAAAAAATTAATTATATCATTTTATCAAAACTTACTTTTCCAAGAAAGGGAGCCCGCGTAGCCCAATGGTTAAGGCGTTAGACTTCTAATCTGAAGATTGTGGGTTCGAGTCCCATCGTGGGTGCTTTAAAAATTTTCAGGTTGCATAGTGTAGCGGTTATCACCTTGGATTCTGATTCCAATAACCCCGGTTCGATTCCGGGTGCGACCTATTTTTTTAATTTTATTATTATTATTATTTTTTTTTTTAATTTCATACTAACAAAATTTTATTTAATTATTTATTTTATTTTGATAGTGTTGTTATCATTATTATTATTATTATTATTATTATTATTATTGTTGTTGTTGTTGTTGTTGTTGTTGTTGTTGTTGTTGTTGTATTTTAGTACAAAATGACATGTCACACAGTGTGACGATGTTTCTAGTCATCTGAGGTGTTTTTTTTTTTTTAGAAAGAGGAAAAAAAAAAAAAAAAAGGTTATATAAAGGAAAGACCAGTGGAGGTTATTATCAACAATACAAATAATAAAAATAATAAAAATAATAAAAATAATAAAAAATAATAAAATAAAAGACTTTTGATAATTCATAAACATAATTAGAGTCATCGTTATAGTTATATATATAATTATATATATATATATATATAAAATTATACTATATATAATAATAATGATAGTATTATTCATATATATAGTATATATCGATAAAGAGATAAGGAATAGTAGTAGTAGTAATAGTAGTTAATATGCTTATTGATTATATAGTTTAAAAAAAAAAAAAAAAAAAAAAAAAGGCCAGCTTTGATAATAAAAAAATAATAATGATAAAAAAAAAAATTGATAAAGAAAAATAAAATAAAAAATAAAAAAAAAACCACCTGGGAAATTTGAATTCAGTTTCAATTAAACTTCTTGTTGTTGTTGTTGTTGTTGTTGTTCTTCATCATCATCATAATAATATTCTTCTTAATTTGTTTTGTTTGCTTGTTTATTTGTTATGCTTCTTCTTCTTCTTCTTCTTCTTCTTCATTCAGTATTTGATCTTCTCCAAAGGTATTTTCACCCGAGTAGGTAATATACAAAAACCCATCAGGATCCTTGTGTTCCTGGTAGATAGAACTCATCAGGGCAGCTGTAGGAGGAAGAACATCATTAACAAAGATAAAGACAGCCTTTTCAGGGGCTAGACGAATTCGTTTACGAATGACGTAAACAAACTGGCCAACTGTGAGGTCTGAAGGCACCAGGTACTTGCGCTTATCAATGGGAGGAATATCAGATTTTTCCACCTTTTCACAAATAACAGGAATGCGGTCATGATACTTGTGTCTGATACGTTCTGCCTCGGCCTTGCGTGTTTCAAAAGTGTGTTCTTCTTTGAATTGAGATCTCATTGTATTTTTGTATTTTTGTATTTTTGTAGTTTATTATTATTATTATATGCGTTAATGATTTATGATTGAAAAAAAAAAAAAAATATTAATATTGATGTAAAAAGTTATATAATTGTTAGGAAAAAAATAAGAAAAAAAAAATAATAAATATGAGAAGAAGAGAAGGAGAAAAAAAAAAAAAAAAAAAAAGGAAGAAGAAGAAGAAGAAGAAGAAGAAAGAGGAGGGGGTGGTTTTAAATTTAAATTTAAATTTATTTAATAATTAATATAATTTAATATAATTTAATTATATTATAATAATTTAATTTTAATTATTAAAATAATGGCGATAAGAAAAATAAAAAAAATTCAAAAGGTGGCGACTTGTTTGTTTGTTTTTTTATTTTTTTTTGGGGGGGGGGGAGGGAGGTCGGCTGAGATAAGCAGCTGCCTGGCAAAGTAAAATTTGTTTTTAATAATCTTTAATGACTGACTGACTGACTGATTGTGGGAATGATGGATAACCACGTGTTTAAACCCTTAACCCTAAAGTATCTTTTTAGTATTATATTATTATTGTTATATTTAAGGTAACTTTATATATTTTTCTTATATATCTTATATACAAACACCAACATCATTGAGCGCTTTTTTTTTTTTTTTTTTATTTCTCATCTTCCAACAATCCATCCATCATTTTATATATATAAAAAAAAAAAAAAAAAAAAAAAAGGTTTCAACAGTAACACCAACTGTCAAAAAAAATATAAATAAAAAAAAAAATCTTTTGAAAATATTTGAAATCTTTCAACAAGAAAGAAAGAACAAGATTTTTTTTTTCTTTTTTTCAAAAAAAAAAAAAAAAAAATTAAAAAAAAGAATAAAAATAAATAAATAAATAAATAATTCTTATTCTTTTTCTTATTCTTCTTATTCTTATTCTTATTCTTATTCTTATTCTTATTCTTATTCTTCTTATTCTTTTTTTTTTTTTTTTTTTTGAATGTCGCCAAACTTTAGACCTCTTCCTCTCCCAAAATGCCCTCAACGGACTTTCCAGGGACGCAGGTAACAACATCCGGCCCTTCTTCACAAGTCCTCATCGGTGTCATATCTGCAATTACAGGCAATATAATCATTGCAGTAGCTCTTAACGTTCAAAGATATGCCCATTTAAAACTACAAAGATCTTCTTCTTCTTCTTCTTCTTCAATCCATCATCACCAATCTAATATTAATAATAATAATAACAACAACAACAACAACAACAATAACAACAACAACAACCAACATCCCAAACCCCCAGAATTGATTCCTAAAGAACCTTCAACTCTAGACAACCAATCTTCATCTCCTCATCTTCTCACTCAGGAACATCAAAATACAATACCTTCATCATCCTATTATTCATACTCTCCAAATTCTCTTTCTCCTATATCCTCTTCAAATGACTCTCAGTCTACTCAAGAACCTTCATCATCATTAGATAACCAACTTAGCTACCTTCACAGTAGCCTTTGGTGGCTAGGAGCTTTGCTTATGACGGCTGGAGAAACTGGGAACTTTGTAGCCTACGGATTTGCTCCAGCTTCCGTTGTCAGCCCGCTGGGCGTGCTGGCTCTCGTAGCAAACTGTGTCATTGCTCCTATATTTTTCCATGAACGTATAGCCCCACGCAATCTTATTGGGGTCGCAGTTGCAATCTCAGGCATTTTATTCATCATTACAGCAACCTCTTCTCCATCTTCTGACCCCTTCCCAGGATTGTCTCCACGTCAAAGACTTTTAGCAGCATTCTCAAGTATTGGCTTTAAACTTTACGCGTCAGCAGCAACTATAATTGTGGCTGTTCTACTCGCTTACACGCGTGTCAATCCAACCGCACACTTACTTTTCGCAAACCTGGCTCTCGTCGCAATGTTTGGAGCTCAAACTGCGCTGGCAACAAAGGCCCTGAGTACCCTACTGGGCGCATCATTGGGTAGGGCCTTTTCAGACCCACTGGCATATGTGTTTGCTCTTGTATTAGCACTTACAGCCGTTCTACAAGTCATTTTCCTTAACAGAGCTCTTCAACATTTCCGTGCAACCGTCGTCATCCCTGTCCACTTTGTATTTTTCACTCTTAGTGTCATCACAGCATCTGCAATTACATTCCGCGATTTTGCTGGGGCTTCTGCAGGCCAGCGGCTCCAGTTTGCGTTGGGATGTGCACTTACCTTTGTGGGTGTCTGGTTTGTTACTAGAGGAGGCGGGTCTCAGGAACAAGATGAGGACGAAAACGAGCAAGATTACGTAGCAGAACAGGCTCATACAAGTCAACCGAATGACCAGTCAAATATTCCGGATATTCCAAGAATTGTTTTTTCGGAACCTTTGGACCCGGCATGGCACCAACAAACTAATCATCACAATCCCCATAATCCCCATAATCCCCATAATCACCACCATATTCTTAAACTGCAATCGCCAGATCCTAACGTTCTGTCGCCTTTGTTACTTCCTACGTTCTCTACCCACTCGCGGCGGGCCTCTGCGGCTACTGTCCGGTCTCTACACAAGGTAGTTTCCGGGTCATCCATGTAATGTTAAAATAAAATAAATCCTAAAATAAAAATAAAAATAATTTATAATAAAAATAAACTTGTATATATAATAAAAATACTAATTTTTTTTTATTTTTTTATTTTTTTATTTTAATAAGCCGCACTTTGAGACTACACACACACATACAGTACGCCCATAAACTTGTAATTTCCCCTTAAAACTTGACAACTTACCACTCACACACTACAAAATTACAAGACAACAAGACAACAAGACTACATAAATGGACTTGTTTTTGCCTCCACCTGAACCTCTGTCGCCTTTGCGCAGCTCTTTTGATATGGATGACGAGCCTGAGAGACGAACTGGCATGTCGACACCTTCGTCATCACCTCCTGGGTCGGCTCCTGGTAATACTAATACTAATACCAATAATAATAGTAACTATACCAATAACAGTACTAATAGTAATACTAATAGTAACACTAATAGTAACAATAACAATAACAATAACAATAACAATAACAATAACAATACCAATACCAATAACAATAACAATAACAATAACAATAACAATAACAATAACAATAACAATAACAATAACAATACCAATACCAATACCAATACCAATACCTATACTAACAATAATAACAACAACAACATCAACATCAACACACCAGTTTCGGCATGGACGCGCCACAATGTACGAGAATGGCTTGAAGGTCTTGGGTGTGGGGCCTACGTGCGATCATTTGACGAAAACCACATTGCTGGCGATATTTTATTAGAGGTGGATGAGGCAGCACTACAAGAAATTGGGGTGGTGCGTGTGGGAGACCGGATCCGGCTGGGCCAAAGCTTAGAGGCCATGAGGCGAGCGTGTGCACGAGCTGAAGTTGTGGCAGTGCAACAACAACGGGAACTAGCGGTACAACAGCATGCACAACACGCACAACAAATGGCACAAATGGCGCAGCTACGGGTAAGACATGGGTCTTATGCAAGTACATTAACACCGGTAGGAAATTTTCAGGCAACAGCATCACCTGTGGAAAGTTTTTTTACACCTAGCACGGGGGAAAGCTTGATTCCTATGGCTAAAACAGAAAAACAACCCCCGGCGACTTTTATTAATTACAAGGGTCAATGTTTACAGGTTAATGTAAGCAAATACTTTGATGCAGTACCTGTTAAGAAACGGGTACTTAAGAAATTTGCACAAAAGGGGATGGCACTTTGTGAAGGAGAAGAAAAAGTGCGGTCGGATAATGTTGTTATGTATGTTACAGATGAGCTAGGCAATGCACGAGCCATGGAGGGTATTGAATTAATTTCATATTGCCAGACTCAGGAATATAAAGAACGCGACCGGATTTTGGTTTGTGTTCGGGGCCACACTCCAACGACGATCCAATTGGCAACGGCTCGGCAGATTGTTCGACAACAGCAGCGGCAGCTTCAACGTCAGCAGCAGATTCAGCAACAGCAGCAGCAACAGCAGCAGCAACAGCAACAACAACAATATATACACTCTGATTCCAAGTTAGAAGGGTTTAGACCCAAATCTCAAGACATTTCAAGAAACTTGCAATCACTACAGGAGTTTTTCCCCGAGGCTGGTACCCAGGCACTCCGCAAAACTATTCGCAACTCGCAAATGTACACCAAACGCATGTCACGACTATCAAGAGTCTCGAACAGATCTTCAATTGCCATGTATTTGCATGATAGCGATGGGGAAGAGGCGTCACCTCCGGTACCTGTACTGGAGGATTATTTACCTGCGACTGGGGGAGGATTAATAACCACTACGGCTGGGGCTGGGGCTGGGGCTGGGGCTGGGGCGGCCACAGCAGCAATTTCTTCATCTCCTTCTTCCTTATCGTCCTCATTTTCTTTAGTATTACCGACAGCCAAGGAGCGACCGTTAAGCTTTGTTTCAACGACTTCATCACTTGAGGAAAAAACCTTACCGCCTGTACCGGCAACGTTAATACCAAGCGAAACTGCCGATATTCCTGAGAGTGAGGAGGAGTTTGCTAAACTGTTTCAGAGAGAACAGTCGGGTCCATCGAAATGGATCCGGGGTAAGGAGATTGGTGCTGGAAGTTTTGGCAAAGTATATCTTGGGTTAAATTCAATTACGGGTGAGTTGATGGCGGTTAAGCAAGTTGAGTTACCATCGACAGCTAAGGAACAGGACCAGAGACGAAGAGCATTAATGGTAGAAGCTTTGCAAAGGGAAATGTCATTATTAAGAGACTTGGAACATCCAAATATTGTACAATATTTGGGGTCTAATTGTGAAAACAATGTGTTAAATGTGTTTCTGGAATACGTCCCCGGCGGGTCCGTGGCGTCAAAGATGCGTAACCGGGAGTCTGGTGTATTTGAAGAGCAAGAGGTACGGCAAGTGGTACGTCAGATTCTTGAAGGGCTCAAGTATTTGCATAGTAAGAGCATTATTCATCGGGATATTAAGGGAGCCAATGTATTGATGGATGATGAGGGACTTGTGAAGATTTCTGATTTTGGAATATCGAAAAAGTTAGAGGAGGAAAAATATAATAATGCTAGGACATCGATTCAAGGCTCTCCATTTTGGATGGCTCCGGAGGTTGCACGACAGAAACCATATACGTTTAAAACAGATATTTGGTCTTTAGGATGTCTTGTTGTGGAAATGTTTACAGGATCACATCCTTTCCCTCATTTTATGTCATTACAGGCCCTTTATAATATGGCAAAGGAAACACCTATTTTACCTGCAATTCCACAGGGTATTTCATCATCTGCACAAGACTTTTTGGCCCAAGCATTTGAAATTGACTATAATAAACGACCCACAGCTGCTGAGATGCTTGAGCATCCATTTGTTACAGGAATATAAACAATAAAATTTTTTTTTTTTTAATCATAATTATTATGTACACACAGAGACAAAAAAAAATAATAATAATAATAAGACGAAGAAAGAAAGCAATATTTTTTTTTTTTTTTTAAAACAATTTAAGCTCTTCCTGCACGTTGTTCCTTTGTGCGAGGACGTTGCTTAACAACCAGTTTATTTACATTCTTGCCAATACGGGTCTTGAAACCAGACTTGGACTTGACACCCCACTTGGACATGGAGATCTTCTTAGATTTAGACTTACCACGACCACCACCGTGAGGGTGATCAGTTTTATTCATGGCTACACCACGAACAGTGGGACGGATACCGAGGTGGCGAGAGCGACCAGCTTTACCGAGAGAGGCATGTTGATGGGAAGGGTTGGAGACTATACCGATAGTTGCACAAGCGTCAATATGGACATAACGGTACTCGCCAGATTGAAGGCGGACAACAGCCTTTTGTTGATCTGGGAGTTTTTCAAAGAGTCTTCCATAGGTACCAGCAGCACGACAAAACTTTGCTGGGCCAGCTTCAGTGATACCAATGTTATGGATGACAGTTCCAAGGGGGATCATAGAGATTGGAAGACAGTTACCACGTTGAGCGGTACGTGCGGAAAGCATGGCTGGAGCAGGGTTACCACCCATGGAGTCAATAATATCTTGAGGAATTCCATTACGGAAAGATTGGATTTCATCACCTGCACGGAGACCTTCAGTTGCAAGAATATAAGAAAGACCATGGGATTCCTTATTTTCAATGAGAGCAATGTGGGCGGTTCTACCTGGATCATATTCGATGCGGACAACAGTATGAACACCAGATTCTTTACGGAAAAAGTCAACAAGACGGATACGACGCTTATGACCACCACCACGATGACGGACAGTGATACGGCCTGTATTGTTACGGCCAGATTTGCGACGTTTGGCGACTGTAAGTTCACGGATAGGCTTACCACGGTGGAGGTAAGGATAGATTGGGGTACGATACCATCTAAGGGAAGGTGAGTAAGGTTTGATACGTTTCATTTGGACAGCAGCTTTGGCAAGTTTAAGACGACGTTTAAGATCATCATCACGAAGTTCGAGATCTGTTTGACCAGATTTTTTATCGAGAGGAACAATTTCCAAAGTGCTTAATTCATTAAGAACTTTTTGGGAATCAGCCAGAGCTTGTTCTTGAGATGAAAGTTTTTTCGATGAAGGTCTAGTACGTTGACGACGGCCTCCTCCATTAGTAGATGATGAAGATGTTTCAGGCTTTTCATGAAGAGCATCGGCAATGATGGAAGCAGCATGGGCTTGGGTATCTTTATCAGCAGGTGAAGCCAGGTATCTAGCATGAGAAGCGAGTGGCGAGACGGCAGCAGGAGCAGCTAAGCGAACTCTTGAGAGCGCCGATCGAGTTGCAACAGCAGAAACGGAGCGCAGCGGGAGCATTAGAATGTGAAAGATGGTCGGGACTCGGGTAAGTGTAACTCAGTGTAGCTTTATGTGTGTGGGTGTGTGTGTGTGTGTGTGAGTACTTTGTAGTAGTGGTGGCAGTGAAAAATTTTGGCTGTCTAGCTCACTTACTGACTGACTGACTGACTGACTGACTGACTAACTAAACAGGCTGGCTGAATGGCTGGTTGATTTTGTTTGTAGGCCAACTGAAAAAAATTTTTTTTTTTTTTCCAGTTGAACAGCTGCTTTTAGTTATTTGCTGTTGGGCGGCTGTTATTTGCGTGATTGGCTGGGACCGGGTAACTTTTATTTTATTTTATTTTATTATTTTATTATTTTATTATTATTTTATTATTTATTTAATATTATTTTTTAATATTATTTTTAATATTATTTTAATATTATTTATTTATTATTTATTTATTATTTATTTATTATTTATTATTATAAGGCCGGGTAATTAATAAAGAAGTTTTATTGGCTGTGTTTATTTGTTTATTTGAAATGTTAAGAAGAGAAAAAAATTCTGTGAGTGAAAAAAAAAAAAATTAAGTAAGTTAATAAGTAAGTTAATAAATAAATAAGTTATTATTTAATATACATATATATATATATATATATATAATATATTATTATTATTAGTAAGTAAGTAAATAAGTAGGTAAGTTTGAAATAACAACAACTAACAAATTGTAAAAGCCCATCAACTAACAAAAAAATACCTGCCAAATTCCCCTTTTTTTTTTTTTTTTTTTTTTTTTTTTTCTCACAACCACCAACCAACCAGCACTTCCTCTCTCTCTCTCTCTCTCTCCCTCCCTCCCTCTCTCAATACACCCACAACCCTCATCTCTCTCAATCCCTCCAACAACAATGTTCGCTGCTCGCTCTGCTGTTCGTTCCGTCGCTGCTCGCTCTGCTTTGGCCCGCTCAATGGCCACTGCTGCCGCTTCTTCTCAACCCCCAGTCCAGCTCTTTGGTCTTGACGGTTCTTATGCTTCAGCTCTTTACACTGCTGCTGCAAAGTCCAATGCTCTTCCTGCCGCAAGTGCATCCCTTTCTGCCCTTAAGACTCTTTTGGCCAAAGACTCTAAGCTCGACGCTATTCTCTCTAACCCTGCTCTCTCTGCTTCTGATAAGAAGACTATTGTTGAGACTTTGGCCTCTTCTGTTAAGGCTGACAAGACCGTCACTAACTTCTTGTCCGTCATTGCCGACAACAACCGCCTGGCCCTGCTCGGCCCCGTCGCTGCCAAGTTCGAGACCCTCATCAATACCGCCAATGGTGTCGTCGAGGCTACCATCACCTCTGCTCAGGCCCTTGACACTAAGACTTTGAACCGTCTCCAGACTTCCATCTCCAAGTCCTCGTTTGTTGGCGAGGGCAAGAAGCTCCAGATCTCAAACAAGGTCAACCCTGAAATTCTTGGTGGTCTCATTGTCGAAGTCGGTGACCGCACCGTCGATCTCTCTGTTGCCGCTAAGATTTCCAAGCTCAACAAGCTTCTTTCTGATGACATTTAAGCGATTCTTATTATTGTTGTTGTTGTATTTTCCATCCATTTCCATTTCCATTTAAATCCTACTTGTTAATTGTAGTTTACTACCCTTTACTTTACTCTCTCCCTCCATCATTTTAAAAATTATATAACCCTTACCCTTAGTATTATTCTTATTATTTATATTATATAATAAATATTTATATATATATATATATATATATACAAAAAGTCCTTTGAATCATAAAACTTCCCCTCTACTATCTTCAACTATTCATACATACATACAAGATTTCCACTCATACACATACACATGTCAAACCAACTAGCCTACCCGGTCCCCTCAAGACTGACTGTGCTAGTACAACAAGCTAGGTCCGAGACGGAACACGTGCTCGATACCGAATTTGTTCGCACGGCTTCAGAATCTTCTACCGGGGTGGCCAACGGGATTGTTGCACCTTTAAACTCTGGAATAATAAATACTGCAGGCCGACCAAAACTTCTTGATCACCATACTTATACAGCCCATAGATTGCTTAGTTCAACACCTGCACAAATGGATAAAGATAGTGCAGTGGTGGCCATTGGACCAGTTCCTGATGAATGGGCATCTAGAGAACCAAGTGCGCGCAAACGGCGACTTGCAGTTCTTAGGAAAACACTGGCTAAAACTAGTCCTGCTTGGCAATTTGCTCTAGAAGGTGTGCGTAGCAAAATGTCAGGGAAAAGAGATCACCCTGGAGGTGCAGGTGCTCAAAGGGCTCTTGTAGATGAAATTAACCAACGACTACTTACAGACATGTCGGACGAAATGTCGCAATTGCACCAATTGGAACAGCAACTACAGCAGCGACAACAAGAGCAACAAGGGCAAGAGCAACAGCAACAAGAGCAACAAGGGCAAGAGCAGCAAGAACAAGAACAAGAACAATCTCAAGATCTAAGTTCAACTAATCAGAGCTCTCCAAACCTTTATCGTACCTTTTCTAATACATCTGCACGTTCAAGAGCATCGTCCCGTGAACGTATTCGACTTCGGCGAGCTTCCACTTTTGCCAAATTATCATCCGATGAAGGATTAGACTCTGTGGCCCCAATCAAGAGCAGTATTAACCATGAAATTCATGATGACCAGTCTTCCGTGGTGGCGTCTTTGGATGACCAACTTAAAACCCATGCGCAACCTAAACCAGTCTTTGTTAAACCACTACCTGGCTTAGCAGAACGTACACTGAAATCATTAGCGTCTCAGCCTTCCCCGGCTTCTCAATACCTCTCCGTCATCCGGGACAGATATACAATCGACTCACTCTTGCAAGAACATCAGAACGAACAGCAGGAAGAAGATCAGCATCAGCATCAGCATCAGCATCAGCATCAACATCAACATCAACATCAACATCAACATCAACATCAACAAAAATCACCATTATCATTCCCATTTTTACCACCACTACAACCACCACCACAACCACAACCATCATCATCATCAACATCATCATCATCACTACCAAATATCCCCTCAACTGAATCTTCGGCTGCACCATCCTTTGTCACGGCCCGTGAACGTGACTCTGGAAGCTCAATGCATAGTCCAAGGTTGGATTCAGAGAGCTCAATGCGTAGTCCAGGGTTTGTCCATTTCGAACGGCCTCGGTACCCTTCTATTCTTAGTACAAACACAACAAGTACTCACCGATTATCCACTGCATCTTTTGATTCATTTGCAACTGCAAGTAATGGTCTAAATACACCTGGTTCTCCAACAGAATCTCTAGGCCCATTAGACCTTCCAAGCACTCCATCAAACCCCCTAGACCCCACAAGATCTCCATCACTAGACCCATTGGCCTCTACGGCTTCTTCCTTATCCACTATTAGACCTCCCAAACGCATTCTTCTTGATGAAGTCAGCCGTCTTAGATACATTTTTGATGACCCAGAACCTGAAGATTTACCCACCATTTCTGTCAACATGGCCAAATTCTTATCTACAAAAACCCCACATGAAGCAATCCGCTTGGAAAACATGCTGGTCCTCATCAAATCATCTGTCCAATTCCCTCCACAAGACTTTGGTGAAGTAGAATCAGTCGATACACGAGTATTGGAACGCTGGAAAGAGTATATTGTGGTTTGTCGCAGCACGGGCTCAGCACATGCCCCTGTGCGCGTCCAGTTTTACACGACCCGTACAATTCCATTAGTTGATTCCACGCCGGCATCTAAGTTTGATTTCAGCATTACACCGAAAACTCACGCAAAGTTTTATTCAAATCTTGACAAAACTGTGGCTGTATGGACTCCTCCAGAAGACTTAAATAAACCAACAATTATTTACATTTTCCGGGCGCGCACCCATGAGCTTTCAATTAAATTATTGGCATTTTTTACAAAAGTTTTGGGTGTTGTTCCTCCTGCACGAACTACAGTGACTGTTCCTGATCTATCACTCAAGGTAGACGTGGCCATCCCTTGGAAATCGATTCTACAATATAACTTGTCTTATGCAAAGAACTTGAGATCACCAGCAAAACTTACATACCCGGAACTTAAATCTACACTTGCACGTGCGGCACCTGTGATTGTTTTTTTGCTGGCTGCAATTACACAGAAAATTGTTTCAATTGAACAGCTCCGTGATGACTTTGTAGCTATGATTACTGCGCAAAAAGTCGGGCTGGTGTGGCGGCGTTATGACCGATTAGAGTGGGTCCGTGAGTTGACTGATTCATCAGTACAAACTGGGTGGGTGCTTAACAATACACATGACTTGGAGCTGAGACCAAAGGCTCCGTACCCTACTTCGGTCACTTTTGAGGATGGCACACGGATGGATGAACCGACTCCAGTGGAGGGGTTTTTATTGAGGTTATCTAGGTGGAATGGCAAGATGGGCAAACAAAAGGTACACAAGTTATTTTTCAAAAAGTTATATTTCCATACCCATGAAAATTATATTTTCTTTTCCAAACCCAACCGGGCAGTGCCACCGTGGTGTGAAGATGACAACCCTGGATTAATTTACGAAACAAGGCCGTACCGGACAGACAGCGAAGAGGAAATTGAGTGGTTGAATAGCCCAACAGCGGATGCAGAAGGTGCAGCACAGAGAGACAAGCTTGCTTTGTATGAGGTACAACGGCGGGTTTCAATGATTGTAGGGGCTGACGGGTTTGTGGATATGTGTGAAGTGGATGAGGTGCGTCGAGTTTTACGGGATGGAGATGATTCACAATTGGGTCGGTCGTGCAGTGTAGCATTTAATGAGGCCGAGTCTGGGCAAGTGGATGGGTTTGAAGACGAGACCGTTTTTGAGATTGTGATGGGGAGTGGAGTGGTAATAAGATTACAGGCAGTAAACCAAGTTGCACGGGACGCATGGGTGCAAAGGCTGGCCGCGCTGGCGCGGTACTGGCGACGGCGGGTTTATGAGGATGTTGCATTACTGAATATGGTTAGGCAGACCAATTTAGTCCAGTTGCATATTGATGAGGACCATGAGCCGTATGTTGGCGAGGCGAGTCCCAAGTGGGAAACATCTGCTGGGATTGCACATCCGGCGGTGTTTCATGTATCAAGATTATCATGGGCGAGGTCAATTGCATTGCACGGGATGTTATACCAAAAAATAAGCAAGCATGCAACGTTCCGACGATACCATGTAGTGTTGACGCATGGGTACGTGGTGTTGTATGATGCCTATGCACGAGATTCATATGGTGGGGCCAAGAGACGAGCTGATCATCGGCGACATCAAGCATTTGCTTTAAACAGTTGTTATGTTTATTCAGGGAATGTTGCACAGACAGAGTTATTGTTACGGGACCGGTGGTTAGATGTGAGTCGTCCAGGGACACACAGTGTGCCGCGGGTATATCCAGACGGATGGCGGTCATGTGAGGAGGAAGCAAGTCGATGTTTTGTTTTGTGGTTCCCGACGAAGCGGTTGATTGTTGATAAAGATGGTGGGAGAGGTGGTGGGGAAGGTGAAGCAGGTGGTAGTGGAAGTGGTAGTGTTGGTGGTGGGACGGATGTAAAAATGGCGAACCGGTTGGGAGTAGCAGGGATATCTATGGTATTTTTGGCAAGGTCCCGACAGGAGCGAGATATTTGGGTAGTTGCACTTAATACTGAGATTGAAAGGCTTGTTGAGACATCTACGGAGGACATTTTTGTTGAGCGATAAGAAGAAGAAGAAGAAGAAGAAGAAGAAGAAGAAGAAGAAGAAGAATCAATGATATATTGTTTGATTGATTAATTGATAGACTTTGCATTAATAATAAAAGAATTAATTTAATTTAACTATACATAACTTTAATGATTAATTTTATTTTAAAAAAAAAAAAGTATTAAAGTAAAGATAATAAATAGTTTGAAGTGTATCTTCAATTATTATTATTATTATTATTATTATTATTATTATTATTATTATTATTATTATTATTATTATTATTATTATTATTATTATTATTATTATTATTATTATTATTATTATTATTATTATTATTATTATTATTATTATTATTATTATTATTATTATTATTATTATTATTATTATTATTATTATTATTATTATTATTATTATTATTATTATTATTATTATTATTATTATTGCATGTGGCAGATGGCAGATGGCAAATGGCCTAGTAAAGTCAGGCCATTTGTAACTAGTTGTAGTAGTAGGTCTTTTCAAGCGGCGTAATTTTTTTTTTTTTTTTTTTTTTTTTTTTTTTGGGTGACAACAATAGTGGTGGTGGGGGGAGAAATAAAAAAGTTTATTTTTATTTAATTTAATTTATTTATTTAATTTATTTATTTAATTTATTTATTTAATTTATTTATTTAATTTATTTATTTAATTTATTTCAAATCTTTATCAAATGGACTCTCAATCACAACAAGCTCAATTTCTAGATATCTTCCAACAGTACCAACAATTCCACTCGGTACAAGGCCTTTCTCCATCTCAATCTCCATCTCCAGATATAGATACAGATACAGATGATACAGAACTTCAACGACTCCAATTTGTAGAGTACTTGGACTTATATTTACGACGATTAAAAGAAATTGAAGAATCAAGTAACCCAGTTCCACCACAAATTACTTTTGAATTTGTTTTGGATGTTTTAGGGACAGGTTTAATTGCAAAGTACAGTGTACGACATCCTGATTTACCTGGATTAGATGCTGAATTAGTTACTAAAAAGGATTATGATGCGGAATTAAAAACAAGAACAGCCAAAATTTTACAAGATAAGGTAGAAAAAAGACAACAACAACAATGGTCAATATTAAAATCATTATGTTGTTGTTGTTGTTGTATGATTCCAGGGATGATGACAGAGACTATGGAAGAAGCAGCAAAGGAAGAAGGTCGCAGTGTAATTGAGGAAATGACAAATGAAAGTGGGGGGTTTCGAGTTACACGGGATATGGTATTACAACCTAAAGGAGGATTCCCAGAGTTGGATAGTACAGGAAGAGCCATTACTACAAAGGAAGAAGGAGAAGGAGAAGGAGGGATGATGGCAGTGATAGGAGATGAAGATCAGGAGGTATGGGATTTTGAAAGAGAAGTTAAGAAAATGGAGGCTTTGAAAGGTAAGGTGATACTTCGAGAGGCTGGAGAACGTGAGAGTATAAACAACAATAGAAGCAGTAGAAGCAACAGAAGCAACAGTAGTAGTAGTAGTAATAGTAGTAATAACAACAACAACAACAACAACAACAACAACAACAGTAAATTTCAAGAGGCTCAGACTGGAGAAGAAAGAGAGAATGATGAGAAAGTTTATGAAAAGCCTGGAAGTGAAGTTGGTTTAATCTCACCACTAGAAGTAGGGAAAAGTCATGGGGAAAGTCATGAGGAAAGTGAAGATTGAAGAATTGAAGAATTGAAGAATTGAAGAATTGAAGAATTGAAGAATTGAAGAATTGAAGAATTGAAGAATTGAAGAATTGAAGAATTGAAGAATTGAAGAATTAAAAAAATAAAGAAATCTGGTGATTTTTAATGTTTAAATAAATAAATAAATAAATAAAAAAGACTTTGAAATCGATAAAAAATTAAAAGAATAAAAATTTAAAAAAAAAAAAAAGTTATTCTTCTTGAAGATTCTCAAAATATAAATTTATTTTTATTTTTATTTTTTTTTTTTTCTAATGCCCATAGTTTTAAATTTTATTTTTTTTTTTTAAAAAAAAATTAAATATAATAAAATAAAAAAAATGGCTTAGGTCTTGCCACACACACACAAACCCCGTCAACTGGATTTCAAACTTTTAATGAGCCGCTTGGATTGCCATCAATCACTCCATTTTTTTTTATTTAATAATAATAACAATAATAATAATAATAAGCCACAGTCATACACGGTAATTCAAATAATATTAATAGAAATAAATAAATAAAATTCAAAATATATATAAAAAGACTTTGATATATCATTCAACTTTACTTTCTTTTCTCTCTCTTTTTTTTTTTTTTTTTTTTTTTTTTTTCTTTATCAAACTAAACTAAACCCGACAAAAATCAAATTAAATCAAATTAAATCAAATTAAATCAAATTAAATCAAATTAAATCAAATTAAAAATTAAATCAAAATGTCAATTTCAGAAGCTGAACAAGTATTCCATTGTGTGTACCAAAAGTACCGCGAATTCCAATTTAGAGAAACTAAAAATCTCACCCAAGAATCAATGACTGATGACCAACGGAAACATATCAACTATATCTCTTATATTGATCTTTATCTTGCTCGTATCAAAGAAATTAATGATTCTATTGCAGACCCACCTAAAAATAAAACAAATGCTACACCCCAACCAGTCGATACACAAATGGTTTATAATGCAAAATCACCAGGACCAGTGATGGCATGTTTTAGTGCAAGACATCCTGATTTGCCTGATTTGGATGTAATGATTATAACTCAACGACATTTTGTTGAAACTGTGGAAGCTATTACTGAAAAAACTTTTTTGGAAAATTTATCATCATTTGAACCTCCTCATTGGCTTAATATTATGTGCAAACCATTGTATAATTGGCGGCTAAAACATAATTATAACAAAATATTGAAATTTGTTACAATCTCTTTACATAATGAATTGCAACATGATCCAAATATGGCACTTCAAGTGGTAGATGATACACTATTATTCCCAGGTTCAGAGTTTGCAGGATTGGATGATGATGGAAATCCGTTAATGAAGGTAGATGAGAGTGCACATTGGGATATGAAGAAGGAAATAGCTAATATGCGTGAGTTAAGGTTGGCCAGAATGTCTAAGGAAGATATTGAAGAAGAAAAACGAGAAAAGGAATTATTGTTGAAGAATAAGAAGAATAAAAATAAAGAAGAAAAAGAAGAAGAAAAAGAAGAAGATGAAGAAGATGAAGAAGAAGAAGCTAATGATGATGATCATCATACTTTACATGAACAAACTTCAAGTGTAATAGATGAATTATCACCTGCAATTAGTGAGGCAACTAAAGTATCTTTGGAAGGTGTTAAGGAGGGAGAATCAGATAAAAAGGCTTTGGAAAGTGTCAAGGAGGAAGAATCAGATAAAAAGGATTTGGAAAATTCTAAAAAGGAACCAGTTTCAAAGTCTTTAGCTGAAGTTAGAGCGATTCTAGGAAAATGATTTCGTTTTATTTTATTATATTTTTTATTTCTTTTTATTTATTTATTTAATCTTAATAATAACCAGCACGGCTATCTTGATTGTAACCTTATCTTTAACTTTAATATCTATAAGAAAAAAAAAGAAATTTGAAAATTTGAAAATTTAAACGAGTAAACGATTAAACGATTAAAAGGTGAATTTTAAATCTACATGTATTTCTATTTTTTTTTTTTTTTTAAAAAAAATAAAGAAAAATATATATCCCCTTGAATAAAAACAAACAAACAAACAAAAGAAAAAAAAATTAATATTCTAAACAAAGAACCTTTTCTTCACCAGATCATAATAGAGTTTAGTAAAAACTGGCTTAAAGGCTCTCTCACAAGTGAGGAGGGAGGTGGTTTACAACAAAAAAAAATAAGGTTGTTGTTTATTGTTATTATTAAAACCATTTAAGGCTATTATTATTTACTTTGCCACTATTGAAATTTATTTTTTTATTTTTTTTTTTTATTTAATGTTTAACACACATTATATGGTTAAGAATTATGTATTTAACTGTATTCTAACATTTATTCTTTTTTTTTTTCATGAAAATAAATGAAAAAAAAAAACCTCAAAATGAAAATAAAAATAATAAAAAAAATAATTGTAAAAAAAAATGTAAAAAAGATATTAGGGCTCAACCGGGAATTGAACCCGGGACCTCTCGCAAATTGCTTAGAATAACCCTAAGCGAGAATTATCCCACTAAACCATCGAGCCATTATTTTGTGATAAATACCCAATCCAAAAATTATATGATAAGTGAACATTAAAGTCACGTAATCAAACCTTTTTTTTTGAATCCTTGACTATAAAAAAAACCATGTCAGACCCCCCCAACAACACCCAAACCACGTTTAGTGGCGGCGACCCTCCTGCCGACAATAATTATACCGACAATAATAATGAACAGACTAATATTAATGATATGCAAAAAATTATTGCTGTTGAACTGAAGGAGAAAGAAAGTTCTCATTCCAGAGGACCTCATTCTCATGAAGCTCATCACATCAAACCCTCGACAAAAATCCAAAAAAATAATGAAAAACCAGACTCCCATAAAAAAATTGAAACTATCCACAAAAAGCTTGAATCGAATGATAAGCATAATGCTTCTTCAAACCACGAAACCCCCGTTGAAACCCCTATTGTGAATGTTGGTCCAACCTTGAACCCTACCTTTGACTCTTCACCAGATGGTGGTGATGTGGAAATTGACGCAACACCATCACGTGACATGGATGTTCTCATGCCGGATGCAAATCCATTTGGTGATAATTCTGAAGCCTGGGAATACATCTTAAAACTTAAGGATGTATTTCTGGTTGAATTGTCTATTGTTAAAGAAGACTTGAGTATTACAATTGAAGATTGGGAAATAAAATTTCAAAATCTTGAACTTAAAAACAATGAGTTAGCTAAACAACTCATTGCTTTGACCGAAAAGCTTAAAGCTTCAGAAGGACAAGTGAATTCTCTTCGCTCAGAACTTGATGTTTTGAGAAACAATCAGGTTCACACAGAAGTTAAACATGTAATGTTTGAAAAACTTAAAAAGGAAGTTAAGGATAATAAGGATCATTGCGATAAAGTGAAACATAAAGCTGATGAAATAGCTAAGATGACTCTTCAAGATTTGTCTCAAGAAAAAGCAAGAAACAAAAGAATTATCGACACTGAAATCAAGGAATTCAAAGAAATGACCAACAATCTTGAGAAAAGAGTTGATAATATGGAATACAAAGTTGGAACTATTTCAACTAAGGCTGATTTAACTACCAAAGAACTTAGCTACGCAAAAAGGAAATCAAGAGTGCGGTAAGAAAAGTCGACACTTTGCCTTTTGCTTTGACCCCTAAAACTCCAAATGGAGCAACTCCAAAGTTGAAAGACATTATGAAGGCTCAAAAACAACACCGTGAAACTAAAGTTGATGAAGACAAACCCACTTTTAGAGTGTGCATAAGAATTCCAGATACCATGAAAAGAGTTAATATCCCTGCGATTGGAAAGAAAATTGATGCGGTTGCACAAAAGCCGGTGGCTCAGGAAATAGGCTATACTGTCAAAGGGCATTTATATGTTCAACTTAATGACAAAGATTTTGCTGATAAAGCTGCAGAATGGATCCCCAAAGTTGACCCTACTTATTCAGTGCTTGACACAGATTCTTGGTACAAGGCTGTACTTCAGGAAATACCTAATACGGCATCGATTGAAGACTTGAAAGAAACTCTCTACAATTTTAATGATTACCATATTGTTTTGAATACCGAACCCAAAATCATTAGCAGAAACCAATTTACCCAAACAGCATTGGTTTCATTCAGAAATGCCCAAGACTATGCAAAGTGTGCTGATAATCTTATTATCCAGTACACAAAAGTTAAAGTTAGACCTTTTATTAGCAGAAAAAAAACTCCTGAAGAACTCCAAGCTATGCGTAATAAGATACGATTATTGAAAATGAATCAGACAAAAGGATAATGAGGCCCATCCTGTTTCCACTGACGACTCACAAGATGAACCGATGAAAGAAACAAATATTGAGGAACTAGATGAATCCAATGAGGAAGAAAACGAAAACAATTCTATTACATCTAATGAATTATAAAGTATTCCAACTCAATTGTCATAAATCGAAATCTATTACTGAAACTATCTTAGATAAAAAAGAACCTGATATCTTGTTATTACAAGAACCTTACTTTAACAACTATGGGCCCATTAAACATAAAGATTGGATCCCAATCTTTACAGAAACTGAAAAAAAAAAATAAATGCAGAGCAATTACTTACATTAGGTCTAACTCTGACTTACGAGCATTAACTACTAAAATTGAAAAGTTTACAAATCGAGATATGGTTACCATTTTGGTTAAAGACATTACAATTGTCAATGTCTATAATCAACCGAAACCATCCAAGAAATACCCTGAGCCACCGGTTTTTGAGTTTCTCAAACGGGAGATCAAGGAACAATACTCAAAGATTGTCATTGCAGGTGATTATAACTTACATCACAAGGAATGGGAGTCAAGGGCAGGTCCGAATACGGAAGCAGATGAAGTTGTTGAGTGGCTACATGAAAATGATATGATGTTAATTACTCCAAGAAATCAAAAACATACAACAATAGAACCAATATTGATTTGGTTTATGGCTCAGTGGACTTACTTCATAGAATTTCATTTAGTGGAGTGGATGAAAATACACTAAGTGATCACTCAATTGTGGAGTGGGACATCTATATGTCTCAGAGTAAAAACGGGGATGAAGTTTTTACTTCGGTGAAGAGATTGAATATTAAGAATGCAGATTGGGAAAAGTTTGACAAGGAGCTTTCTTCTGCCATTAAAGATTTTAATGTGCATAACAAAACTCTAAAATCAACTGACCAAATTGATGACCAAGCTAAAGCTCTTGAGGAGGTTGTAAAAAGAGCAATGGCAAAGTCGATGAAGGAAGTTAAGGTGATGAAAAGTCCAAACGCTATTGGAATCAAGAATTAAGGGAGAAGTTAGAAAAAGCGCTAGAAGCTAAGAGGGAAGCCCGTCAAAGGCAACCTTCTTTGGCTTTGAAACGACAAAAAAATTGAAGAGGCGAAAAAAAGCTAGAAAAATTTTTGACCACAGTTTGCGTGAAGCAAGTACTGAGCAATGGAATAAATATTTGTCTAGTTTAGAAGGAAATGACATTTGGAAGATTTTGAAGTATATTAATCCAAAAAGCAATGATACCATTATACCACAAATTAGAAAAGAAGATGGAACTCTCACTACTACTGTTGACGAAAAAAAAAAGACATGAAATATGGAAGGCACTTCTACCTGAAATTGATCATGGTCTTGATAGAGAGTTTGAAATTGATGACGATTCTCGATGGCCAAAATTAGAGTTTGATGAAGTTGACTCTGCATTGGCTGATACCCCAAATGATAAAGCTCCAGGAGACGATGGAATTACTGGCAAAGTTTTAAAGATGGCATGGCTAAATAAAGACTTTAAGGAAAGGTTTTTCAAGCTTCTCCAAGCTTGTGTAAAGTTTGGATACCACCCAAAAGTCTGGAGACATGGCATTATTGTTGTTATACCTAAACCTAAGAAACCTGACTATTCAAAGCCAAGAGCATACCGACCAATTTCCTTACTTAAGATTCCATCTAAAGTACTGGAAAAATTATACAAAAAGAATGACCAAGCTTACAACACACTTACTTCCACCAGAGCAATATGGGGAAGACAAGGTTATTGTGCTACTGATGCTGTTTTGGAACTTGTCCAAAGAATTGAAACTAGTAAGGAAAAATTTCAGCTATGCTCATTGATATTCAAGGAGCTTTTGATAATGTTAACAGAAATATATTGGCAGACACAATGGAGGATATGAAACTACCCAAAGCACTTATAAACTGGACGTACCAATTTGTAAGTGAAAGAGAAGCTAGTATGCTCATGGACCGAAGAAAAGGATCAGTACAAAAAATTAGTACTGGAATTCCGCAAGGCTCACCTATTTCACCACTACTTTTTTTGATATATTCCACACCAATGTATCATGCCATTAAAGAATGGGGTGGAACTCCTTTTGGCTTTATTGATGATGTGACTATTACCGTTGAAGGTAAAATTGAAGAAAATACCAAAAGCTTAAGCAACATATTAGAAAAATGTTGTAATTGGGCTAAATCAAGAATGACCAAAATTGATTTGGGTGATAAATTGGGTTTTATTCATTTTACAAAAAATGTGAAACCTAAAGATGAAAAAGTGCAACTTACTTTACCTAATGGAGAACTTCGTGAACCCCAGAAGAAGGTTAAATTGCTTGGAATTACTTTGAACAATCTGCTTGATTTTAAATCTCATATTTTGAATAAAATCAATAAAGCAAGAAAAGCTGTTGGTGCTATTTGGCATCTTGGAGGCGTGCAAAAAGGTATGCGAGGGTCTGCAGTCAGATCACTGTATATTGCTTGCGTGAGACCAATTGTTGAATATGGCTTAGAAATTTGGCATCATAAAATCTTGAAAGGAGAAATCCACAAGTTGGAAGTAATGCAGAACATGGCTTTAAGAAGAATTGTTGGTGCTTATCGCACAACTCCTATTGCGGTACTACAAAAGGAAGCTGGTATTATGCCATATAGTATTAGGCTAAAATTTATGGAGGCACGAAAAGCTATTCGTTTACACCTAAATATTAGCAAAACTAATCCTATTAATGGTCATTTGTTAACATTGATTGAAATCTCCAATTGCAAAGCTAACCACGCTTTACATATTGGCGAAAGATGATAGAGACTACATGATTAAAAAGGATGAAAAACGAAAATGCAAGAGGGTTGAACCTCTTACACTGAAACAACAACAGAATCAGACGATTGGAATTTTGAAGAAACAAGCAATGGAAGAATGGCAGGAAATGTATTGGAATAGCAGTAAGGATCTGTGGTATCATAATATCACAGTGGAGTCGAAATGTACTGATAATCTTTCTAAAATGGTTACGGGAGTGATCATGAAGAAAGATAGTCGAAGGATCTTGAGTAATATTACTCAGTTTCGCACAGGCCATGGCAACTTTGGCGCATGGTTTAAAAAGTTTGGAATTGAAAAGGATAGTTACAACTGCAAATGTGGAGAGCTGGAAACAGTTCATCACATTTTAGTTGAGTGTCCTTTGCTTGAAGAGGAAAGAAAAGGACTGAAACGGATATCTCCAGAGATGGACATGTCGACTCTCTTAAACAGTTTAACTGGCTTACAAGAGATTGTAAGCTTTATCTCTGCTTGGAGGGATTAAGAAATACAATTACAGCGTTGATGAAGACAAGTGGAGATAGGTTGGGAAGGTTTGGTTATTTTTAACCCCCTGTTCCTCGTAAGCTGGCATCAGGACTTATTTTCGGGCTGTTGGAGATGCAATGTTGAAGCCAAAATTAAAAGTTTATTATCAAAATGAAAAAATATATAGTATGGACAAGAAGGATAGCGCAGATGCTGATGTTATATAATTCTATAACCCTTGAATAAAAACAAACAAACAAACTTTTGAATCCTTTTTCCCCTTTTCCTGAGGATGTGTACGGGAGTATACACCTAGATTGAAAACCATAGGCTACCCTGGTTACAGGAATGCCGACTCTTCCGTACAGTCTAAATAGCCTGCAGGTGATTGCGGGCCGTATCTCTGGCGGAAGAGATTAAGAAATACATGGGCGTCCGTGAAGATAAGTGGAAATGGGTTGGGAAGGTTTTGGGACCGACAGACTGGTTCTCCCTGTTCCTCGTAAGCTGGCATCAGGGCCCATCTTCCGGGCTACCGGAGACGCACAGAACAGAAACCACCCGTACTAAAAAGGTACAAATGAAAACCGGCAAGTCACATAGTCAGACAATAAAAGGATAGCGCAGATGCTGATGTTATATAGTTCTATAACCCTTGAATAAAAACAAACAAACAAACAATTTTGAATCCTTTTTCTTTTTTAATAACTGTTTTTTTTTTACCAACACTAGCCTTAGACTAACTCCTAATTCCATTCAACTTTTTTTCTTCATTCTACGTTTCTTTTTTCTAATTTTTATCATACTTTATTTAACAACTATCATTAATAGACTAAATAGCTCTTACCAGAGTTTTAAGGAAATTGCACCTACTTTTTAATATTTTATTTTTTAATATTTTTCTTTTGTAGATTCTAAATGAAAAAAAAAAAAAAAAAATTAAATGAAAGTAATTGTTTATGTAGGGAGGCCTACAATGATGTTGGTGCTATTATTTATTAAATAATAATATTTATTTATTAATGAATTTTGTTAAAAATAATTTATACATATGCTTGCTTAGAATTAAACATTTGGACTGGTTTTTTTTTTTTTTACAAAGATTTTAGACCTAAAAAGTGTTAAACACATTTTAGCAAAATGAAATTGTTTAATTTTTAATGCTTATTCATGGTTAATACAAATAAATCATATTTGACATTAATAATATATATTATAACTCTTCAAAAACAATCAAAATCCAAGATTTTTGCTCCATGATTCAAACACTATCTTTCTACTATAGGATTTACTTTTCTAAGAATCGGCAATAGTTTAGTGGCTAGAATTTCCGCCTGTCAGTTTTCAATAGCAGCGCGCGGGGGACCGGGGTTCAATTCCCCGTTGCCGAGCTCTACTTTTTCCAATTTATGTTTTTTTTTTATTTTAATTCTTTTAAGAGTCATCTAAAGAGAGAGAATTGAGGTGCTTGATGTGGTGGTGGTGGTAATCAGAATTCCAAGAATATACATATATATATATATATATATTTTTTTTTTTTTTGAAAGTGTGTATAGTGATTATGTAATATTATTTTGAGGATACACAGTAAAGCTTGAATAAAATAAAATGATAACTTTCTGACCATGAAGAAGAAGACAACACATAACAATTTTCAGTCCTTAAAGATAAAAAAAAATACATCAATAATGACAAAAGTAATAGATTTTGATGCGTCAGCCCGGAGTCGAACCGGGGGCTCGTCGATGGCAACGACGAATTTTACCGCTAAACCACTAACGCTATTTCTTTTGCAATTTGGAACAAATAGATATAATAACTCATGCATGACTTTATTTTATCACGTGATTTGTTTTTTTTTTATTTTTTTTTATGTGTTTTGCATGTCAAACTTCTCATCAAATAAAGGATTTCTTTACTTTTTTTTTTTAACATTACTTACGTTTTTCTTTTTTTTTTTTTCAATTATTTTTTTTTTCCTTTGAGATTATTATCTCTATTTATTCATTTGATGCTTATTTGTCTCAATGAAGATTTGCAGAGCATCGTAATACCTAATCTTTTGAAACTTTCCCTGGTTTGATTTTCTTTAAGAACTATAGTATTTCCAAGTTACTCTTTAATCAAAATGTTTATTAATATGTTTGTTCCTTTTCTGGATCTTTCAAGGTATGTTTTTTTCTCTAATTTATATCTCAGTATATTATGAGTTTTACTAACACCATAAAGAAAAAAAAATTAACCTTGAGAATAGGAAATGAATAGAATTGAAAGTTTTTCTAGTTTTTTGGTGGCTTATTTCTTTTTTTTTTATCTTAATTAGTTCTTGATTACCCCACCCATGTTGTTTGGTTTCTGAATTTTGTTGATTAATTACAATAACAAACTCTTATATTTAGGTGGCCGTTCAGATTCCAATGTCTACATTAAAGAAGTTTATACCAGTTCAAAATATTTTTCATAAAAAGTTAAAAAAAGATATTTACAACAGTTTTTACAGCTCACTGATTTTCAATACTTAACTGTTTTTTTTTTCTTTTTGTTCTTGGATTGAATAAATGATTTAGCAATATTTAAGCTTAATAGTGTGTTTCCAGCTTTGTCAAAATTGCTAATATCTGTCGCAGAGATTTTTTTTTGTAAGTACATTTATCGTAACTCGTGAAATTTACTATTTGTCGCTTTCATTAGAATCTCTCTCACTGCTGTCGCTGTTGCCAAACTTGTTTTTAAGAGCTTATTCTTTTGTCAACAGAAACCTGATGCTATTTCTAGGTTGATGAAATTGTTCAGGATGATAATGATAAATTTCAAGTGTTGTTTCTGTTCACAAAGTCGTTCTTATGGAATTTTTTTGAAGTTAATAGCGGTTTTAATCATGCCACTTTCGAGGTATTATTTATGACAACAATGGAGGAGATTGATTTTTTTTTCTTTTTTGCATGGTTAGAAGATATATCTGTGTTTTCTGTTAGGATTAATATTGAACAATACTCAAACTATTCAAATGTTTAACTAACTATTACAGTTATTTTGAATGATATTTTATAAAGTAATATTGCAATACCCTTTTTCTTTTGGTCAATACCTTGTCTGTCAACAACCTTATTTTTGATCCTGTTGATTTAAATGACAAAAAAGTATGATGATATTAACATACTCACTATTACATGTTGTTTATAATTTAAATAATACCTTGACTTATTTTTCAATATTTGTAGAAGGAATGTCCATAGTATTTGTAACTAATTAAACGATATTTAATGGTTTTTTTTTCTATGATTCTAAACAAAATAATGCAACTATTCCCTGACTTGCTTTGAGGTTTAACAAAGACATGACCAATCTTAAAAGTTAATTATTGCTTTTAGAAATATGATGACATATATATATTTAAGAACTGTAGTATTCCTGTTAATCATTTCAAACTTTTTTTGGAGACATCTAAGTCTCATTGAACGGCTTTCAAAAATGCAATTTTTTCAAAACACTGTTATTGGATCCAAATTGATTTCTTTTAAATTTTTTTTTAAATATAATACAAAGTTTCTTAAACAATATTCTATCCCTTTAACCTTTTTTTAATGTTTGTTTTGGTGATTCCTACTTAAGATACCGACTACTTTAAATCAAGTCCGATTGCAAAAATTTACATTTACACAATCACATATATCTCAACAATATGACATGCTAAATAAAATCTGAGAATTGGAACACGCTCGCTATACCAAGAGGATTCATTTCATACCATATGACTTTACGAAATATCAATATTAACGAATTTCGATATTTTGAAAACATTGAAAAAAAATCCATTTGAGGCTATTTTTAATAAATTCCTCAAGGGTTGGGGTTATAAAATTTTTAGTATGTGCACGGCTTTATCACATAATTTATATAAAATTATCACATGACAATTAAGACATATATACGCTGGTAATATATTTCAGCATGTATTCATAATCGGTTCTAAAAACATTGAATATCTCGCAATTTAAAGAGTTAAATGAAATTTTTAAAAGTACCAATCAGTTGTTCTTAAGATTTTGAATTGATTGATATTAATTAAAGTTTAAAATTCAAAAAAAAAAAATAAAATGATTAAAAATTTTCAAAATCCTGAATTACTTTTTTTCCACAGAAGAGTAATCAAATATCTAACTTTACTGTTGTTGTATTCCATTTAAAGAGAGCTACATTTTTATATAAATTTTATTTGATAATTTAGTACTTTCAAAAACTTGATTTTGGCGACTTCCAAAAATGAGCAATTTTTTTGGCTATTTATCAAAAAAGCTTGGATTCCATTAGGGTTGGGGTGAAGTGTTTTTTTTTTTTTTTGAACTTTTAAACATTGTAATTACTTTTTCTGTAGAATTGTTAGTAAGTAAAAATTTTTAGATACTATATATATACGAGATTGTAATTAAGAAGAAGGAATAATTTTCTTTTTTTAATGAAAGCTCCATTTTTTATGTAATTAACTTTTAAAAAAAAAATGAATTCATCCGAATGCATTTTCAAGAAGTCGATTTTTGGAAACTTCCAAAAAGGGAAATAATTTTTTTAAACTTTATCACAAATAGAGAATTCCATAAGGGCTAGGGTAATTATTATTATGTAATCTACTAAAATTAAATTATAGATTACGTAGAACTGAGATCATAGAACTGACCTAAACGTTACACAAAAATCTTTGTTGGAAATTTTACAACAGAATATTAGAGTGCCTTATTAATTAATAGGTCTCGTTGTAAGATTTTTTTTTAAAAAAAACTCCCAAGTTTTTTTTTTTTTTAACTTTCCAAACCCTGGGTCTGTGAGCTTAGTAAAGTATTGAAATCGGTTGCTAGAGGCTTCCAGAGTCTCAAAAAACAATAAAGAAAGAAAAAAAAAAAAAGAGAAGAGAAGAGAAGAGAAGAGAAGAAAAGAAAAGAAAAGAGCGGTACTTGGTTGGTACCCCGAATGGTTTTAAAAACAGGATTATGGTATTTAGCAGATTTCAGGCAATAGATAAAGGAGGTTATCAGTAATCCGATCCCCTAATAAGAAAATATAGTTTGGGATCTTTCACAAAAAGTTCTCATTAAACTAAATTAAAAAAAAAAAAAAGAGAATTAAAACTGGAACTAGAATAGAGGTGAAATGTGTAGTGAGCGCACTGATTGATTTGTATAACGACAATGAGGGGTTTTTTTTTTTGTTTCGTTTGGAATATCATACTTTTTAAACCTTAACAATTTAGAATATTTTCTTGCAATTATATGTAAATCATTTAATATATGATTTTTTTAAACAAATATTTGCTTTAAATGGCTTATCAGAACCACAATTATTGTAAAAAGATTTTTTATGTCTGCTTTTATTATTTTAGAACGAGATCTTGATTGATCATTTCAAATGGCCATAATTTTTTTTTTAATCTTATAATTATTAGTAACATATTAATAACCATTAATCATTTTTTTATATATGGATTAAGAGTTATAGTTTTTTTTATAAAAAAAATTCAATATAATGCTTTTGAAATCAAATTCACTAGCTAAAATTTATGAGAAAAAAAAAAGAGTATTATTAGTGTAAATTAGTTCATTAATATTAAAAATATACATATATATACATTCAATAAAGACAAGTTAAATCTTTTGAAATTATGTTGGTATTCAATTCCCATTTATAACAACAGCTCATTTTTAATTAATAAGACAAGTATTATTTGTGGATAAGTCGACGGGTGTTGTAATTCATCATTCAAAACTTTTATTAAAAAAAATGAAATAAAAACCTATTGTTCCAAACTAAAATAAAATAAAAAAAAAAAAGAAAAAAATGATATCAACTGTTATTCATCTAATCAAACTGTTGCTATTGTGATTCAATTCACCAAAGAATAAAAAAAAAATTAACATAAGATTTCAAAAAAGAATGGTTAGTAATCAAAAATAATAATAAAATAACTTAATAATGCCCCTTTACAGGGATGATAAGAAGAATACTTTTTAATTTCTACACAGACTTAAAATAAAAAATATTTAAATAAAAATCTTAAAAGTCTAAGAAAAACTAATACACAGGTATAATTAAAGAAAAAAATAAACAGAGAACGTATATATATACAGGTTCTAAAAGTAAGATAAATATGTTGTGACAATGCAATGAGATTATAAAAGTATTCAAAGGTTTGATTTGCAATTAAGGAAGGAGTTTTTTTTTTATTTTTTGTTTCAATTGTTGTTGTCATTATTAAAGTGTGAAATAGAGCGCACGGCTGGTCAACTTTAAAATTTTTTCTAAAGTTTATGAATAAATAATAAATAAATAAAAGGATATTAAAGAAAGATTGGTTAAAAAAAAAAAAAAAAAGAAAAAAAAAAGCCCACATCAAGAGTAAATAGGTTTGTTTCGATAAAAAAAAATATCGAAGATTCGATATTTTACTCATATATAAAGGACTAAATTTTTCTTATTTCAATATTGTCAACATTTTCAAAAATTAAAAAAAATTTTAAAAAAAAAAGAAAAAAAATACGAAATACCAAAAAATGAGAAGCATGATTATTGAGGAAAACAACGTCAGCAATTCAACAAATGACCACGAAGACTTGCCTACGTCACCGGAAGTCCCTGCATTTTTGAATCCGGGAACAACTGCCAGATCGATGACGACATCTACAAACAATCCAAGGGTTACTAGTGCTATTACAGTTCTGACATTACCAGCAGTTCCTCCACCTGCTTACGAAGACGCTATAAGAAATAATGTGGGCACATTATCAAATACAAGACCCAATGAAGAAGAAGGACTAGGAATGGACACAGAAAGAAGTGACACGGCTCAATCTTCATTGAGAGCCCCAGAACCTGTAGCCAGCCAACTCAATAATGACAGCAGAAGAGTTAGTACTGGGATGAGTCCAGTGGGAAATAGTTATAACACCAATGCGACTATAGTTACAGAGCCAGCATCTTTAATGAATTTAAATACAAATAATAGTGGTCATCCAAGAACAACAATGGTGTATGCGGAGGACATTTCAAATTCCCCCCGATCCAAATTGTTGCAACCCGATAATCATATTACACATGTAAGGGGAAGTACTGGGACTCATATTGGTGTACAGCCTGGAGCTGTTCAGGTGCCTCGGGTTTTACCGCAGAGTCAAATGAGAATGCAGCAGCAACAACAACAGCAACAGCAGCAGTGGCAATGGCAGCAAAATCAGAGGCATCAGCAGCAGCAGCAGCAGCAGCAGCAGCAGCAGACAGATGATCGAATGAGCATGTTTGATGGAACTTTATTTTGTATGATGCTTATGTTTGTGTTTTGTTTCCCATTTTCAATTGTGTTATTGCCATGTATTTTTAATATGTATAACAAGAATGATCAGGAAAATAGATTGAGACCTAAAAATGAAGGGGGAGGAGGACAGGTTGATATTGATTTGGAAGGAATGATGGGTATTATGACTGAATTGGGTGGAGAAGAAGAAGGAGAAGAATAAGGAGAAGAATAAGAAAAATAAGAAAAATTTTGGTGAAATTTTAGAATAAATAATTCATTGACAGATTTTTTTTTTCAGTTTATTAAATGTAGCAATTTTTTTTTTTCTTTTTAACAACCGGTTAACAGAAAATATAAACTTTAAAAAGCATGTGACTACTTAGATTTAATAATAAATAAATATTATCATCAAAAAGCCAAGATGTTCAAATAAAATTAAATTTAAAAACAAATTATCGATAAAATAAAAATTAACAGGAATTAAAAAAATAAAATAAAATAAAAATAAAATAAAATAAAATAAAATAAAAATAACGGTCAAAGTATATATAAATATGTTAATTGTCAGTGTAAAAAAAAAAAAAAAAAAAAAAATAGAATTCAAGACATACTACCAAAAATGAGTAATACCAGTAGCAGCAACGAAACAAGATTTATTTCAAACTTATCACATATACCTACTATTTTAGACTATCATAATTCAGGATCAACAGCAGTTCCTAGGAATAATGATGACAATTCAGATATATCTCCTAACCTTCCTCCACCTGCATACAATTCTCTTGAAAACAATATTCGACAACCAGCACAAGCTAGGGTAATTGTAGCTAATTTTGAATGTGTTAGAGAGAATGGTATAAAAAATATAACTATTCAAATTCAAGAGCCATCAACAAATTCTGAGATCAGAAATGTTGGTGGTGATGGTGGTGATGGTGGAGGTAAGCCAGCTGTGGTTTCTCAGCCAGTAGCATCAATGATTATAGAACGTTCAGGGGGGGATCCACCTGTATTTTTGACAATGCAATTACCACAAGAAATTACAGCCAATTATGATTATTCTTCAAAACAAATGATTGAATTTCATGTTGATAGAGAAGAAGAAGAAGAAGAAGAAGAATGTATGGATATTATTGCAAAGTTCCCATTTGTGCTTCTTTTGTGTCCATGTTGTCTATTATGGATGTGTATTTAACTAATCAGTTAATTATTATTCATGAATATACTAGACAGAGAAAGAGAGAGAGAGAAAAAAAAAATGTCAATTTCAAATAAACTTTGAATTATGAAAATATCCAAAGATATTTTTATTAAACAGTTTAAAATATTTTTTTTTATTTTGTTTGTTTGTTTGTTTTTGTTAGTGCAGCTGCCTCATTCTACAAAAGTGAATCAAAGTCACAAGGTCATATATAAGTTTTTTATTTTTTAATTTTTTAATTTTTTAATTTTTTAATTTTTTTTTGTTTACCCCCATGTGAATTGCAATTTGTTTTTTTTTTTTTTTTTTTTTTTTTAATAAAGTAAAAGAGTCAAATTCAATGCAAATTTTTACAAATAAACAATAAAAATTATGATAAAATATGTAGTTTTTTTATTATATTTTAAATATTTTTATATAATCAAGCCCGGTTTTTATAAAATTTACTTTGTAAGGATTGTTTATGATTTAATGTTTTAAAGTTTTTCTTTTCGTAACAATCGGCAATAGTTTAGTGGCTAGAATTTCCGCCTGTCAGCTTTTAATAGCAGCACGCGGGGGACCGGGGTTCAATTCCCCGTTGCCGAGCTTTAATTTTTTTTTTATATTATAAAATATATATATATTTAAGCTTTTATTATTATTTACAGAGTTATCTATTTGATTTAATATACTTTCATGAAAGTAAATTGTAATTAAAAATAAAATGTGTAAGAAAGTGGTAGTGGTTGTTGTTGTTGTTGTTGAATATATTATTGAATTTGCCAAGTTAAACGAAATTTAACTATTTTTGTTTTTGTCGGGGAAATAAAAAATAAAATAATAAACTAAAGTCAAACACCGAGACTTCCCACACATACACATATGCACACACTTTGATTTTAACCCGAAATATGGTGATTTATTTATTATTTATTATTTATTATTTATTATTTATCTATTCAAAATTTTTAAAATCTTAAAGATTTTAAGAGTTTTAAAAAAAATTAAATTCTTTTCTTTTCTATTTTAGATTATTTTAGATTATTTTTTATTTTAATGAGCCATGTGAATTTAAAGAAAAAAAAAAAAAAAAATTGTGGCTTAGTAAAGTAATAACGAATGAATGTGTCTATTTAAAAAAAAAATAAAAATAAATAAAAAATAAAAATAAAAATAAAAATCAGCAGTACTTAGTTAGCAATTTTATTTTTTTATTTTTTTATTTTTTTTATTTTTTTTATTTTAAGAAACTTGTTCAGTTATAAAATATATAAAAAAAAAAAAAAGGTTCTCGCTTAAAAAAAAAAAATTTTTTTTCAAAATAAAGACATTAGTAGTAGTAGCAGTAGTAGCAGTAGCACTTGATCATGATTTCTTAAACGATATTTGACATTAATTAAAGATGATAATAATAATGATGATGATCATCATCATCATCAACATTATTTTTAATTACTTTAGTTTATATTTATATTTATATATTTATATAACTTTATAAAGATATTTTTTTTTCTAAGCCTGTTCGTCTGACTCTGTTCACTCTATAATTTTATTTTTTTTTATTTTTTTTTTTTGTTTTTATTCCACTTCATTCCAATTCCCAAATCTTTCTCCATTATTTTTTTATTTTTTTATTGTTACTTTACAATTCTAAATCATTAAATATAGTAGTGAATGTGATTGGTTGCCCTTTTTAGCCATGAAAGTTATTAGAATTGAGTTATAAGAATTATTAATAAAAGATGAAGTTGTTGTTGTTGTTGTTGTTGTTGTTGTTGTTTCTTCTAGAGAGTTTAAAGTAAGATTAGGTGGCAGGGGAAGACGGCTGACTATCACATCAACCTTAAAAAAAAAAAAATAAAAATAAAAAAATAAAAATAAAAATTAAAAGCCTCGGTGATAGGAATTTGATAAAAATCAACATAAATTTTATTTGTTTTTTTTAGAAAAAGGGTTTTAGAAAAAAAAAAAAAAAAAAAAAAAAAAAGTTTTAAAATATCATGAGATAAAATTAATTAAAATAAATTAGATTTTAAAGCAAAATGGTGATTAAAAAAAAATAATAATAATTGAAATATTAAAAAAAAAAGTTATAGTTAATTTATTAATCTGTTTTGGCAAAGATGTGTTATTTAACATATAAATATATATAAATCAAGATAAAAAAATTAAATAAATAAACAAAGAGCCGAGGAATCTTTTTTTTATTTTATTTTTTTTATTTTTAACCAATGTAGATTTTGATTAAACAATTATATATTCAAATATACTAAAATAAAGCTTTATGAAATGTGAATATGAATATGAATATGAATATGAATTTATATATTATATATTTTAATTTATTATTATTATTATTATTATTATTATTATTATTATTATTATTATTATTATTATTATTATTATTATTATTATTATTATTATTATTATTATTATTATTATTTTGATTTTGATTTTCTACAATCATTCAAATGACCTTTTCTTTCTCTTTCTCTCTCTTGTGATTTTTATTTAAAAATAACTTTTTTTTTTTTTTTTTTTTTTAATGGGCACTGCAAATTATTTTTTATTTTTTATTTTTTTGGAATTGATGGTAATGGTAATGGTGATGGTAATGGTGGAGAGATTTGTGTGATGTGTGATGTGTTGTGACTGATTGACTGACTGACTGACACATATCACATAGAAAACAACAACAGCGCATTGAAATTTTTTCTTTTTTTGGTTTTGGTGAGTGAGAAATAAATAATTTTTTTTTTTTTAAATATAAATATAAATATAAATATATATATATATATATATATATATATTTAGCCTCTTGAAAAAAAAAAAAAAATTAAAAAAAAATTTATAAATTTTTTTGTTAATTTTTTTTATTAATTTAGGAAATCGCATGATCTTTTTAAAGTGACTGGACTGAATAAATGAAAAACTGATTGACTAGAAAGGTTGATTAATTAATTGATTAATTGATTAATTGATTAAATATGAAAATGATTATGAGGATTTTTTTTTTTTTTTCTTCTCGGTCTTTGTAGAAAATTGTAATAATAATTAAACGATATGAGAAAAATTCAAATGACTCCACTCACTCCACCATTAAAAAAAAAAAAATTGCCTTGATAATGATAGTTTATATAGTCTGATATATAATAATAACAATATAATGGCTAATTTATAAACGACTATAAATATCTCTTCAAAATCTTTTAAATTGAATTCTTTTTTTTTTTTTTATTTATTTATTTCTAATTTTTTTTTTAATTTATATACTCTTTATCATCATCAACAATAAATACTTTACAATCTCAATTCTTTAATTAATAATTAATATAATCAAATTCATTATACTTTTTTTTTAATATTTTATTTTATTTTAATCAACAATGGGTGGTGGATTAGACCAACAACAACAACAACAATCAGAATTTAACCCTTACAATAACCCAAAGTCTGAGTATTCGGAAACTGCTTCTCCACCAAATTATAATGGCCAAGATAATAATAATAATAATAGACCAATTTCACCTTATAAACAACAAGAGCAGTATTCTGAATATGCAGATGGCAATAATCAAATAAATAACAACCAAACTGGTGGTGGTAATCAACAAAGTGGTTTCAATAATGGAAATCAAGGAAATTACAATGATGGTCAAAGAGGTATGAGTGTTGGTAGTAATTATAATAATGGTCAAGGATATAACCAAGGTGGTAATCAAGGTTACAACCAGGGAGGTAATCAAGGATATAGTCAAGGTGGTAATCAAGGTTACAACCAGGGAGGTAATCAAGGATATAGTCAAGGTGGTAATCAAGGTTACAACCAAGGAAATAATCAAGGTTACAACCAAGGAAATAATCAAGGATATAACCAAGGTGGTAATCAAGGTTACAACCAAGGTGGTAATCAAGGATATAATCAAGGAAATAATCAGGGAGGTAATCAAGGATATAATCAAGGACCAACTCCTATTGCACAACCAGCACCAGTCGTTATTCACAACACCACTAATACTTTACCTCGCCAGGACAGACAACCTTCAGTTTCAGTTGTTGATCAACCTGTTGAGTACCGTCGTAAAATGACAGATGGTGAGTTTTTGGGATGGATGTGTATCTTTATTTGCTTCTTCCCATTCTCTTTGTTCTTGATTCCTTGCTTTATGGATAGCTACGACCAAAAGGAAGCAGTAAGAGGTCCTGCAACAGTCATTGTAACACAACCATCAGCTCAAGCAGATCCAGATCTGGAAAAGGGTGGTTATGTTGTCAGGAATTAACTGAGTTAACTGAATTAACTGAATTAATTTAATTTAATTTAATTTAATTTAATTTAATTTTGATGGAATAGTAGCTGCATTTGTTATTTTTTTTATTTTTATTTAACAAAAAAAAATTAACATGAAATTTTATATTCTTGGCATTTTATTTATTATTATTATGTTCAGCCTCTTTAGAAAATGTAATTTTTTTTTTTTTTTTTTTTTTTTTTTTTTTTTTTTTTTTCTATCCTTTTAAATTTTATCGATAAATTCTATCATCAATTGCTAGCAAAAGCAAAAATAAAAATTTCTATAAAAAGGCTTGGTAGTCCCAGGTTTACAATCTATCTTTTTTTTTTTTTTTTTTTTTTTTTTTTTCTTCATCACTCAAACTTTTCTATTATATATATACCATCTACAAATCTATCTAATTTACAATAAACAATGGGAGGAGGACTAAACCACCAAGACGATCCAGCATATAACCCATACACCCAGAATCAAACTGGTTCTTTGGATCAACCAAGATCCCATTCTGTATCTCAAGCAACTAATACTCCTAATGTTGCTTCCCCATCCGCTTTACCTCGAGTCGCTGCAACTCCTACACTTGTTCCAGTATCTGCTCCAGCTCCTGCCCCACCACCTGCCGTAGTCTATGTTCCAGTAGCTGCCAATTCTGCTGGAGCAACAAGTCATTCCAATACTTTTGCATCTCAGCAAGTACCTTTAAGACGTCGAATGACTGACTGTACACTTATATGGTGGATGGTTTTTTTCCTTTGCTTTTGTCCACTTTCACTCATTGCATTGCCATGTTTCCTTGATAGTTATCGTGAAAAAGAACCTGTGCCACAACCAACAACAGGAAATCAAGGAATTGTGGTGGTTCAACAGCCTGCAAGAATGGCACAACCTGAGGTGGACTTGGAAAAGGGTGTGGCAGTGCACCATCAAACTACTCGTGTGGGTTAACTCAGATAGAAAGAAGGAGGAGGAGGAGGAGGAGGAGGAGAACAAAATGTGGAGAAGCCAAAAAAAAAAAAAAAAATAAAATAAAAGTTTATTTTGATGCCAAGAAAAGATTTGGTGAGGCTTTTAAAAAATAAGTATAGTTGTTTGATCACGTGAACTATTTATATCATCCTCTTCCTCTTCCTCCTCCTCATTCTCACTCTCACTCTCACTCTCACTCTCACCTCCAGCATATAATTGCCAACTTAATTTCTTTAATTTTTTTCAAATATATTTTAAAAATAAATTTTAAAATAAAGATTTATATTAAAGAAGTTTAGACTTTGTCATTGTCATTGTCGTGTTGTGACTTGTGTTGTTGGTACCGTTCACGGCCTTTCTCTTCCGCCTTGACATCGCCTCCTTTAAAGACTTTTTAAAAAAAAAAAAAAAAAAAAGAAATACCTAACTATATAAACCCATCAAAACTAGCTGGGTAACGCACGTTCTAAGCCGTTCAAATACATTTGAAAAATATTTGAAAAATATTTTAAAAAAAAAAAAAATATCCTTATGTTGATTCATATACTACCCAATCTCTCAAAAGGGCTTAGCTATCGTATATAGATGGTATCTTCCAATAAGCCTCTTTCTAACATTACCATGGCTTCAAAACTAGTCTATATTTCATATCATCTCTTTCTTGTTGATATCAAGCCTTTTGAATGCTAGTGTTTTATTTTTATTTTTTTGAGCCGCTAAAAAAAAAAAAAAAAAAAAGTGGATTTATATGTCTTTAAAAATTAACAAGATTTCGAGTAGTGCAAAGAGTTTATATATATATATAAAAAGAAAGTTTTGTGATAAGTTAATGTCAAATATATTCTAAAGTTATAAATATAAGACTATTTCTCCCTCTTTTTTTTTTTTTTTTGTTCTTTTCTTCTCTTACATTCTAATCATTTATTCTACATCAGAAAAAAAAAAAAAAAAACCTTCCAATTGACATTTTACAACAATGACATCTAATCCACAATTCAACCAACAAAATCCTCCTCAAATAATCTATGTCCAACAGCCTCCCTCTGCAGGTGCTGCTGCTGCTTCTTCTTCTCAGCAAGAATCCGGGACATCCATGTCAGATGGTAAACTAATTTTGTGGGTCTTTTTTTTTGTTTGTTGTTTCCCCATCTCACTTTGCTTTATTCCATGTTTTATGCGCAGCTACAATGAACGCAAACAAATGGGACTTACCCAACAACAACAACAACACCCTCCAGGTACTGTTGTTGCACAACAACCAGCAAGAGTAAATGATCCTAGTACAGATCTGGAAAAGGGATATATGAATCAGCAGCAGCCAATTCAGACTGGAGGATATAATACTCAGCAACAACCAATGCAGACAGGAGGATATAATACTCAGCATCCATGAATGAAATGAGAAGTTTATTTTAAATTGGAAAACATGTTTTGTTTGGGTTGCTATATGTGGCGATACAGTCAGGTTAATATGCATACAAAGTTATTTTTTTGTTATATATCAAGGTTTAGTGAGCCTTTTTGTTTTTTTTTTTTATTTATGAATATTATGGAGAATAAGTTTCCCCCCCCTCCCCCATTCTATTTGTTATTCATCCTTCTAGTTTATTATTATTTTCTTTTATGTAGGATTCAATTAAAGAGAAATGAAAGAAAGAAATGAAGAAAAAAAAAATCACTGGATTTCTTGTATCCAATGATTTTTTTTTTTTTGTAAATAAATAAATAAACAAGTGTAGGAAAAGGAGGCAGGTTGTAGACAGATTGTAGGCAGGTAGGTTATTTATGAGAATATGAGAATACAAGGCAGTTAAGGAGAATTTAAACTTTGGACCATCATTTAACCTTGTTTTTTTTTTTTTTTTTTTTTTTAAAAAAAAATAGACTAAAAAAAGAAGAAAGTTTTTTTTTTTAATTTTTTTTTTTTTTTTGTTTTATAAAAAATAATGATTGACTAGTAACTTTGAGGCTGAGCTGAATATGGTTTAGGACTTTTTTTTTTTTTCTTTGATTCAATTGATAAATTATCATTTATATATATATAATGGGTTCAAGAATAGAAGGTTACTTACTTAGTATATATTTAGTACTTGAGAATTGATCAAGACCTGTTATAATAAAATGTGGTTTGGTTGTCTGGGTAAAGAAAAAGAATGATTATTTTAAAAAATGAAATAAATTTAAAAAATAAAAAATAAAAAATAAATAAAAAAAAAAGGAATTAAATGGAATGAGATAATGGCAAGAACCCGGATAAACTATTTAGAAACAATGTAATAAATGTTGCTCGAGGAAGATGTAAAAAAAAAAATATAAAGTAGTTTAATAACCTTCATAAAGGAGTAGGAAGAAAAAAAAAAATAATAATAAAGAATTTTGATTGGTAACATTGGATGAATATATTTGAAGTTATATGTATATATATATATATATATCTACTACTAAGATATCAATTGAAGTTATAACAGAAGAATACCTTAAATAGAATGAATGTAATGCAAAGAGCTAATGGTATATATAAGCAATAAGGTCAGGTCGTCAAGGTACATAATAGCTATGAATAAGGAATTGAGTTTTGGATGAAGTTATTTATAAGCTAATATAATAAGAACAAAAAGATATTAAGAATTGAATTGTTTATATTAGATAGATAGTATATATATATATATATATATACTATCTATAATATATTATAGAATGAAAGCTTAAGTTTTTTTTTTTTTTTTTTCCATTTAAAACACATGAAAAAAAAAAAAAAGATTTCATCAATGGTTGTTTAAGACAAAAGACAAAAACTAATATAGAAAACCTAACCTTGTAATATAGGTTTTTTTTTTTTTTTTGGTGGTTAGGGCATACTGTTTAAGACGAGATATTAGGCTGGGGGGGGGAACATTTATGTAATGCAGTCACTCCATAATAATTATAATAATTATTGTGCCATTAGAGCAGTAGTAGCAAGCAGTATCAGTAGATTTTAATCTATAAAGCCAAGTTATAGCAACTTACTTTTGTTTAGGAATTTACATTTATATTTACATTTATATTCATATATATATATATATATATGGCGGCATTCTAAAAAAAAAAAAAAAAACAGGTTTATGGGGAGGGGAGACAAAAACAAATGGAGAAATATATTGACAATTGTTAAGACATAAATATTTTAAAGAAAAAGAAAAAGAAAAGAAAAAATAAACACAACGACGCTCATATTTATATATAAATATATTCAACAATCTTTAATAAATAAAAAAAAAAGGGGGGGGTGAAGGAGGATTCTGAAGATTTCTAAGATGCGAGAGACCTAGAATAGATTTTAGTTTAGTGGAGAGAGAAAGAAAGAAAGGAAAAAAATTTCCTTAAAGACGTATTAAAATGTTAACACTAAGAAGTAATAATAGTAGTAGTAGTAATATATAGCAAATATACTACTGCACAAAGACACAATCGCGTGGTTTACTAAATAAAACAAAGAGAAAATAAAAATAAATAAATATAAATGAAAAAATAAATAAAATAAAAAAAATAAAAAAAAAATCCTTCAATTCAAAATATCGTCGTGCGTCTTTTTTTTTTTTTTTTTTTTTTTTTTTTTCAATTCAATTCAATTCAATTCAATTCAATTCAATTCAATTCAATTCAAAAAAAAAAACAACTGCATGGTTCGTATATTTATATTTATATATAAATATATATATACTAATAATAACCCCTCTCCATAAAAAAAAATCCTTTTCCTTTCATTTTACAATCGTTCCATTCATCAATTATCTATCCAATTCAAACAAAAATGTCCTCGCAACAAAAAAAGGAAACTTCTCCTGTCAAAGTCTTCTTTGCAATTGTTTGTTTCCCAATTACCTTAATTATTCTTCTATTCCGTGCTTGTTCATCATCTAAAAAATCATCATCATCATCATCATCATCTAAACAACTACAAGGCCCACCATCACTAGTTGTCTCTTCACAACCAGGCCGCCAACCTATCCCAGACTTAGAAAAGGGTCCTCATGATCTTACAACTGCTCAGACAAATGCAACCTATGCAACTTATGCTACTGCAAACTCAGGAATCGCTACAGCTTCTACAAAAACTGCAGCAGTACCAACAGCAACAACATCTAGTGCATTTAGTTCCTTCTCAGGTAACTATACCGCTCTTACACCATGGGAATTATGGGACCTAGTCGATATTGACCGCCAGAAAATTCGTGCCGGTGAACGTGCTTCTGTAGAACTTGAAGTTCTTAGAATTATTGACAATTACTTTGCAATGATGTCTCCTCAATTTTTGCTCACCTCTCAAGTACCTATCCCATTGTTCCCCAGATTGGCGCCAGCTTATCCAGGTGATGCTCAATCTGCGCGTGAAGGTGGTAGTGGTAGTGGTAGTGGTGTCTCGCCCACCATTATTGTGCAACACCCACCAGCAGTAGCAGGTGCAGCACCAGTAACAACAACGCGTGTTGTTCCCGTGGTTGCTCCTATTTTTGTAGCCCCACTGTTCCGTCCTCCACTATTATTTGTCCCACGTCCACGTCCCATCATTGTCATGTCAAGACCCGTCCATCGTGTCAACGTCACTCATGTTCATAACCACCCTCCTCCCAAACAGAGTTATCAAACTCCTGCAAAACCACAAGGTTATTATGGGAAACCTCAAACTCAAGCGTATCATGCACCTGCAAAACCTCAACAAGCATCTTACCATGGTGGCCCACGCCCACAGGGATACGGCCAACCCCGACCTCAAAGCTACACGCAACCACGGACACAAGGATACACGCAGCAACGACCTCAGCAGGCCCGAGCAGCAGCCACAACAGCGTTAAATGGTGGTGCAGGAGGCCGGGCTCCTGCTTATGGAGCAGGGTATGCAGCTCGCCAAGCACCGACAGCAGCTCGCCAGGTCCCAGCAGCTGCCAGACAAGTTCCAGCAGCTGCTCGACAAGTACCAGCGGCTGCTCGACAAGTACCAGCAGCGGCTGCCAGACAAGTGCCAGCGGCTGCCGGGGCTGCACGGACTGTTGGAGGAGCAGGATATGGAGCAGGCGCAGGATATGGAGCAGGCGCAGGATATGGAGCAGGCGCAGGGTATGGAGCAAGAACAGGATATGGGGGTGGATATGGAGGTGGACGGACTCGAGTGTCTGGGTTTGGTGGAGCAGGACGTCGTCGCCGGTGATTACCCATAATTGTGTCAAACAACAACAACAACAACAACAACAACAACAACAGCAGTATTTCAATGACATATTATTAACCGATTCTTTCTCTTCTTATTTTTTTTTTATTGTTATTAAACATTATAATTTGTTTTTTTTTTTTTCTTCTTCTTTTTTTCCTTGCTTCCTTCCTTTCAACTACAACTCACAGTTGTTGATTTTAAATTTTTAGATCCTTGTGTTTTTAAATCCTTACGTTTTTTTTTTTTAGATCCTTATCATGTCTTTCTAATCCTTAATATTACCCCTAGAATTATTATTATTATTCTTCTTCTTCTTCTTCTTCTCCTTCTTCTTTTTTCTTTCAAATAAATTTATTATTTTTTTTTTTAGGAATCTCGTACAAGCGCCTTGGCAGGTTTGGCCACAGAATCACCGACCCGTGCTTCATCAAATTGTTTCCGAACTGCGGCTTCGCGTGCTCGTTCTTTGGTCCTAGCTTGTTCTTCTGCCATTGCCTTTGCAAATTCTCTATTTCCTGCTCCCCCCCGTCCTCCACGGTACATACCTGATGATGATGATGATGACGTTTGAACACTTTCGAGTACTCCTCCTGTTACAGATAACGCTTCTCGTGGTACGTTTTCTACAAGATAGTAAGCAGAAGAAGTCGTTTGTTGTGGAGTGGCAGTGTCAGTGATAGTTGTTTGTGAAGTAGTAGTGGAAACCACTGTGTTACCAAATCCTCCACGACCTGTGCGGATTGTTTGTGAGGGTGCTGAGAATACTTGTAGTGAAGGATCAGTTGTGTTTTGTGTAGTTGAATCTATGTCTGGGGTACTATTTCCATAGCCTCCACGTCCGAATCCAACCATGGCTAAGTTTATTATAACAAGAAAATTTTCAAAAGTATGAATGAAGAATATTATAATAATAATAATAATAATAATAATAATAATAATAATAATAATAATAATAATAATAATAATAATAATAATAATAATAATAATAATAATAATAATAATAATAATAATAATAATAATAATAATAATAATAATAATAATAATAATAATAATAATAATAATAATAATAATAATAATAATAATAATATTATTATTATTATTATTATTATTTAAAAAAAAATGGCAGTGTATGTGTGTGTTTTTGCTTTGCTTTGTTTTGATAATTTATTTTTTTTGGTGGTGGTGGTGGTGATGATGATGAAAAATCTGGTGATAATAATGGAAAGAAAAAAAAAAAAAAAATGGGGGAGACATTTCAATCAATCAAACAAATCAAAGAAATACGCCTTTTATTTTTTTCAAGTTTCTTTTTTTTTTTTTTATGATTTTATTTTAAGACATGGAAAAAAATATTTAGAATAAAAAACCTTTTTTTTCTTTTAAAAAAAAAGAAAAAACAAAATTTAACTGTTGAAAAAAAGAAGAAGAAGAAGAATGAAAGAAACAATTATTTTTGGTGGTTTTCTTTCATTCTTTCATTCTTTCATTCTTTCTTTCATTCTAGAAAGAGTAATTAGAAAGCCTTAAGATAAAAAAAAATAATAATTAAAATAATGTAATCATATTAATTATAATTATTATAATAATTATTATAATAATAACTAGAAAGGGTCCTCATAGTGATAGAAAATAGAATATAAAATATATCAAACGAAAATAGTACACAATAAATCGGAATCTGTTCCCCGAATTTCAACTTTCATGTTTTTATTTAATACTTTAGAATATATATATTGTGATTATTATCAATCATAATTGATCATTTAATTTCTTTTATTGTTATTAAAGAAATAATCTTGCGACTTTGGTTTTTCAAATGACGTGCCTAGTTTGATAATAAATAAAAATAAAAAAAAAAACAGATTGTTGGGTCTGCTGCTGTTATTGCTGCTGCTTCTGCTGCTACATCTGCAAAAGATCACACGCTTCTTAAAGATGCGAAAAAAAAAAAAAAAAAATTTAGTTGAAATAGAAACTTTTTTTTTTTTTTTTTTTTTTTTTTTTAAAAAAACGCACTCTGACATTCTTGGACAGAGGTTTTTTTTTTATAAAATAATAAAAACTCGGATGACTTTAAGGTGGCGAAGCTCGTGTTCAATTTCTTTCAAGTTTTTCATTTATATGTTTATTTATGTTTATTTATGTTTATTTATGTTTATTTATGTTTATTTATGTTTATTTATGTTTATTTATGTTTATTTATGTTTATTTATGTTTATTTATAAAAAAAAAAACAATATCTTTACTTATTTATTTTCTTATATAAATTATACAGACTTAATTTAAATGAATTCCAAAGATTAAAGAAAGAAAGATATAAGAAAAATAAAATAAAATAAAATAAAAAAACCTTTAAGTATTACTTTAATTTGTATATCGCATTAAACTTTCGTTACCATTCCAAATCTTCTTTTTAACTGCCATTTGTGTATTCTCACAGTTTATATATATATATCAGCCCATCTCTTAAAAGCCGAGGGAGAAAAAAAAAATAAAAATAAAAATAAAAGAAGACCATTTTGATTGTTTTCCTCCATTCTTCTCCATCATAAAAAGAAGTATTAGCCGTCATTATTATTATTATTATTATTAATAATAATAATAATAATATTAATAATAACAATAATAATTCAATGTAGTATATATACTATTTCTAACTTTTTGAATTGAAAATTTTATATTTTATTTTATCTTATTTTACTTATTACTTCACATGTGAAATAATGTTTTCATAGTTTTGTAAATATTTTAAAAATTAATTTTTTTTTTTATTTCTTTATGAATTCTTTTAAAAAAATAAAAATTTTTTGCTTTGTGAATATTAAAAAAAAAAAAAAACTGTTCGTTTCCATAATAACCATCTTCAAAAGAAAGAAAGAAACAAATTTGTTTTATTTAAATAAAATAAAATAAAAGCAAAATACTGATGCAAGATATAAACAAACAAACAAAAAAAAAAAAAAAGCTATCCTTCCATAGACAAAAAGGCCAAGTCTAAAATAACAAAGAACTAATGGCGTTGTAGTTTGTCATCGTTATGTTCCACTGTTGAGAAAAAATCTTACTCGTATATAATTGGTAGACCAAAATAAAAATAATTATTATTATTATAATAATAATAAAAAATAAAAAATAAAAAAAATAACTGTAATCTTCTCCTCAAATATCGGCTATCTCAACCCTATAAAAAGGACCAAATCTTCTGTTTCTGTTTCTGTTTCTGTTTCTTCTCTTCTTCTTCTTTTTTTTTTCTTTTCTCTATCCATCGTTTCTAACAATGTCTAATTCTTCTTCTAATTCTTTATTTAACCTTCCAGATGTCTTAATCGACAGAAAGAAACAACCCACAATTACCCGCAAACCATCAAACTCGCACGGCTGGCCTGGTTCTACTACTTTCTCCGACCTTCACAATGCTTCTACAAAGGCTCTTGCATCTCTCCACAACTTTGACTTAACCCAAAACCAAAACCAAAACCAAAACCATATCCCACTAACCCTCACTCAATCTTCTACTGAAAATATCAACACTACAAACCCCCTCTTCTCTCATGGTGGACATCAAGGAGGATGGGGCGGCCCTCCTCAAGGAGGTCATCCCGGTGGTTGGAACGGTCCTCCCCAAGGAGGCCCCCACGGTGGTTGGAACGGTCCTCCACCCCCAGGAGGCCCCCACGGTGGATGGAATGGACCACCACCTCCAGGAAGTCCTCACGGTGACTGGCACGGACACCCGGGCCATCATCCAGGTCCTCACCATCCTGGTGCATATGCTCCTCCTCCTCCTCCCGTCGTAGTGGCCCCCAGGCCACCAGCAGTTGTTGTTGCCCCACGGTCTCCAGCAGTTGTTGTTGCCCCACGGTCTCCAGCAGTTGTTGTTGCACCAAGATCTCCAGCAGTTGTTGTTGCACCAAGATCTCCAGCAGTTGTGGTGGCACCAAGACCTCCTGTTGTGGTGGCACCAGTGGCTCCCGTCGTTGTGGTTCCTCCACGACCGGCTGTCGTTGTTGTAACCCCAAGTCCTACAGTCATGGCAGCCAGAGCTATTGTTCGCCGCTCCAGACGGAATCGCAATTAGACTGTGTGGAGTATTGAAAAAAAAAAAAAAAATAATTCGAAGGGGAAATGGTTTTTAGTGGTTGGAGTATATATACACAATTCTTTTAAAATTTACTTATCATGATCTTCAGAAAATGCATATCTTAACTTGACTTTGAAGCTGCCAACCAAAACTCACTCAACTGCTTTTATAAAGTGGATCTTTAACAAATGAGTTTTTTTTATGCCTCAAACTTCTTATCTTAGCCTTACTATTCCATTATTTATTTAAAAATTATATATGTAACATTAGAATTGGAATCATTTATTTCATATTATTCAATAAATAGAAATAGAATATTACCTTTAAGAATATCAATTTTTTTTTGTTCTTACTATATATATTATATAACTTTCCAATTAATTTTTTTTATAATAAACTTTAGATTTAACTTCAACGTTTGCATCTTCAACGGCCCTCAAATAATCCCTAATGCTATCTTACAAGGAATAGAAAGTTAAAGACCAAACCTTCTTAACTTGTTTCCACTTGTCTTCATCAACGCTGTAGTTGTAATTATATTTCTTAATCCTTCTAAACAGAGATAAAGCTTACAATTTTTTGCAAGCCAATTAAATTGTTTAAGAAAGTAGATAGGACAATCTCTAAAGATATCCGTTTCAATTTCTTTTTTTCTTCTTCTTCTTCTTCTTAAAGCAAAGAACACTAAATGTGTTTAACTACTTTTTTCTTTTTTTCTTTCCATATTTGCAGTTGTAACTAACCTTTTCAATTCTAAACTTTTTAAATCACGCACCAAAGTTGCCATGGCTTGTGCGAAAACAATTATTCGTTTGTTTGTTTTTATTCAAGAGTTATAAAACACTTATTCCCATAATGTCGACAACTGCAAATAATGTCTGCGTGGCAACTCAAGGTACAAAATTCTTTTTTATTTAACAATCGGCAATAGTTTAGTGGCTAGAATTTCCGCCTGTCAGCTTAAATCAAGCAGCACGCGGGGGACCGGGGTTCAATTCCCCGTTGCCGAGCTTTACTTTTTTAAATTCCTACTTTACATAAACCATGACAGGTGTGTTTCTTTTAAGAATTTTTTAGGTCTTTGAAATGGATATCAAAATAGCAAATTCAAGGTGCGGTAGCGTTAAAAAAAAAATTAGTGGCTGTTTTCTTTAATTTTCAGCTGCATTATGTAATCAGATAAGACACTATTATAAAATTTTATACATTTTTTTTTTTAATTACTTTGTACAAGCACAAACAAACATTACCATGATCTCCATAAACATTTACTCCCTCAGAATACAATCATCAAAAAGATCTTTGAAAAAAAATCTGAATGAAATTAGATTAAAAAATAACATTCAATGCGTCAGCCCGGAGTCGAACCGGGGGCTCGTCGATGGCAACGACGAATTTTACCGCTAAACCACTAACGCTCTTCAATGTAGAAAATCTTCATTGAATAACTAAAGCCTTCATCGTACCATGATTAGAAAACTATAAAATATTGTCTCATGTGTGTATAATTCTTGAATAATAACAAGCAAACCAAAATAATTGAGTTGGAAAGATAAAGTAATACAATTATAACATTGATAAAGACAAGTGGAAATAATTTGGGAAGGTTTGGTTTATGATTCCCTGTTTCTCGTAAGCTGGAATCATGTCTTATTTTCAAGCGGTTGGAGATACAATGTTGAAGTCAAATTAAAATTTTATTATGAAGATGAAAAAAAAAATATATATTTAATACAAAAGGGATAACACTGATGCTGATGTTATATAATTTTATAATATTTGAGTAAAAACAAACAATTAGAAGTGCAAATTGTATGGAGCCTTAAAAGTTGTATTCACCTTGCGCCTATATTTATTACGTCGGCAATTAGACAAACAATAAAACTGGTAATTATAGTTTCGATATTAACATGAGAACTAAATATTACTAGACTAATTACTACGACAAATTGATTTGGTAAAGTTTAATCTTACCTCAGTCAATGATTGTTTGTCAAAAGTCTATCATTACTAAAATAACTGCAATCAACTAAACAAAAGTAAAAAGTTAGACATTTGAATTTTAACATTATGAGCATGTTAATAAAAGTTGGGTAAAAACTCTGAATCATATCTAGTGAGATGTGTCTTCATAATCATTTTAAATGGTATCATTGCTCAAATAATTCACCAAGTAAAATGATAAAGAAGGTTAGAAGGATAAAGGAGATTTGATGGGGGTATATACTTTTTTTTTTAAAAAAAAGAAATACACGTTAAATAACTATTCTTCTTCTCATACACTCAAAACTTAAATTAAATATGTCCCAACCACCACCAGCTCAAAACACAACGGTTCGTCATTCTAGCCCCAGGGTTCCAGATATGATTATCAATGGATGTCTTTTTTCGATCTTTTCTTTAGAAACGCCATCACAACGTGCTGAGAGACTTAGAATTCAAGCCCGCGATAATAAGAGAGCTTCACGGAAGAGAAAGGCTGCCATAGGTACATCAACGTTTCAGAAAATCTCTAAAAACTCTCCAAGCTCTGTAACCCAAACTTCAAATCTAATGAGTCCCAGTGTTCAAAGCCGTGAAATTCCATCTTCACAAGTTACATCAACTGTTTCTGCTCCTACAACTCCTTCCACGACAACAAACAGTGCTCTTGAATCTTCTTCCACAACAAAAAATGTCTCTCCTGCACCCTCTGACACACCACTATAGAGTTTCTACCCGTTGTTTATGGAGACCAGTGTCATTAATGTGTCGTTTTTTTTTTACCTATTACACTGTTGAAAATACGTGGGAGGGAAATGGGAAATGCCCCTAACAAAATGGCCGATTTCTTATAAATCTGCAAGAAATTTTGATTTTTATCTCCTCCTCGTCCTAATTCGATCATAAAAAATTACCATCTTGGGAATTCTTTGATAATCATCCACACAAACATTACTAAAATTGATTCAATTCTTACTAAAAACCAACACAATCCTGACTAATTTGTCACGTGAAACTTTTCCATTTTCCCACCCATTTATTTTCAAGTGTGTTAGCTTCTATGACAATACGGAAAAAAAAAAATAATAGTACCATCGGAACTGGTTTTATTGAGGAGGATAAACTACGAATCTATGATAAGCACCAGTCTCTTTGACAGAAAACTCGATTTCTTTATGACAGAACTTTTTTTCATTGCTATTCGAAGTTTTCTAGACGAGGCTGATAGCAGTTATTAAGTTGTGAGACTGGGCCGTATTTTTAACGCGGTCACAGTTTTGGTTATTTGAAGTATATAAATTTATAAAGATAAACCGTGCCTATTTCTTATTTAATCACTAAGAGATAAAATTATTTAAGACTAAGCATTTTAAATGACTAGTTAATTCATTTCATAAATAATCATTTATTATGGGAAATTAGGATTTTTCCCAAAGTTTATAAAATTAACGCGGATATCAAAAAAAAAATTCACCTGACTCTGTTACCCTACCTTCACTCTACTTTTCTAAAAAATTTTTTTTTTCTATAAAAAAAAATTTTTTTCCTGAAAATTTTTCTTCTTCTTCCTTCCTTCTTCCCTTCTCTTTATTATCCAAAATTTTTTTTTTGTTATTTACTTTAAACTATTTCATCTATACAAGGCTTGATTAATTTCTATTAAGATTTTTTATGAACTCTTTTGTTTGATGAAATGATCTTTCGTATCCATTTATAGTTTCTTATTCATTTGACATTTTTTGAGATGTTAAATACACTTTTATAGTTGATGTTTACTTTTACAAGCAAACTTTTTTTTTCTCTTTTTTAACTTCATTTAAATAAATATTTACAACTCTATTCACTCTAAATAATTTTAAACGTTCTATTTTTAATTGAAAAAGGAACTATCCGCGGTTTTAATTAACGCAAAAATTTTCAGCTAGGTTCAACAAATTCACGTATAACACTAAGCAATATCTTCAAAAAACAATCATTGGAGTTTAATCAACCCTTGATAACGATCACCAAGTCACTCTTATTTTTAATGTCGGCTTTTTCATAAAACCGCCCATCATGTTACTATTACACACGCTTTTTTCATTGTAGAAAACTGAGCTCTGACAACAAGTTTAATTCACGTTTCAGAACAAGTAAAACAACGTGACTGGCTGGCGGTTTTCCTAAGATAACTGTAGTTATATCATCACCACTATATTAGTTGGCGCCAAACAAGTTTCAGTAACATGTTAATTTAAATTCATTCGGCATTATTTTTTTTTTTCAAATTTGGCATTTTTTATTTTTGCTAAAAACTATCACTGTACAACAAACGATCATCATCATTTGATATAAAAGTAATCACCTTTGCATACTAGAATTTTTGGGGAGTTTCAAAATTTTTTTTTTTGGAAGTACCAGATCTCACGGGTTAAATTTTCAGAGTCTGAACCGAACAACATTGGACATTGAAGTTTAATCAATAACTTGTGAAATCCAGAAACTAAATAAATCTTTCTCACACTCTCCCCACAGCTTTTCTTTTTTCTTTTTTTGTTTCAACTTATTTTTTCTGCCTTTCATCTTGACTTTAAATGTTTCTTATAACTGTTGTCATTTCATTATTCAACCCTCTCAATCAACTACACTGTTTCTAAAAGCAATCAATTATTGGTTGTGGTTTATTTTTTTTTATCCAATTTTTTTAAATTCCTTGATTAAGTTGACCTTCTAAATGTTAACTTTTTTCAGGTCTTCAGTTCTATCACAGGTCTAAGCGGATGTAGATCCATGAATACTAAGTCCATTTCACACATTTCTTTCCTCTGTGCTCTCATTCTCACTTTGCACAGCAAACATGTGGAGAAGGACTTTGTCAACAGTCCATCAGAGTTTCGCATTGCGCCTGCCCTGCAGCAACTTTGATTTTCGACTTCTCTGTGTGGCCAAAAATTTCCATGGTCTTATCGCCAGTTCATGAGGTTCAACATAAGAGAGAAGAGTCTTTGCAACAGACTCGACTAGTACTCTGGGTTGCACATTCCCTGCAGCAGTCTAGCCTTCAACATCCTCTTGGCCAGTGGGACTGAGAGTATCGCTAGGATTTTATCAATGAAACTCCATTTTACATCACTGTTTGGAGAGGCTTAGTATTAGCATGATATCTTGAATACCATAAAATTCACACCTGTTTTTTTTTTTTTTTTTTTTCTTCTTCCTATTTGTCGTTCTTGCGGTTTCAACTATACCACAACTTTTAGTCATCTTTATCTTTTAATACCTCTTTTCATTCCAATTTGCTTGGCCAACATTTCCAACTCAACGAGCTTTGACGGTAGCTTATCAGAGTATTAATATTTACGCGACATCACAGGTCAATCAGCGCTGGCAAAAATGACACCATGAAATCCTTATTTTTTTAAATAACATTGGTATGTTTACTGACCCTCATGAACCAAATACTTGATTACAATCATGCTAACTAACTTTTAGTTTATATTTTCTATCTCAAAGTTTTGCAAAGCCTTAAATTTTACAACAATTCTAAGACATCCTCCCTTCTTCTCATTTCACTTACCACCGTTCCACTTTTCTCGACACATGTTTTCGACATACGGAGAAGGACTTTATCAACAGTCCATCAAGGTTCTGGGTTGCACGTGTCCTGCAATAACTTTGGTTTTCAACATCTCTGTTTTATTCGGCAAATAATTCCATGAGCTTTTCGACAACTCATGAGGTTCAACATAAGAGAGAAGAGCCTTTACACCAGACTCGACTAGTACTTTGGGCTTTATCGGCTCTGCGACAGTTTAGTCTTCAACATCTTTCTTAAAAAGTGGAGTGGAGGTAAATGTTATGATTATCATGGGCCTCTGGTTTAAATAATGGCTGGGTGGGGTTTGCCATTTTGATAAGGCTTAATTCCACTATAAAAACGACAATGGTGTCATTATTCCTATTTTTTTTTGCCTGTATATCACGATATTTTTTACTTCTGTTTCCTGATAACCATGATCAGCCTGATACCATTTTTACTAATAAGTTTTTAGTTTACCTTGTCAATCCTAACACCTGTCAAGTCTTTCAACTTCACCACAATTTTGTGCCATTTATACCTTACTGTTTTTAGCTTTTTTTAACGACATCTTTTTGGTATTTTTATTCACCACCACAAATTTACTGGATCATAATTATACAAATTTCCAGTTTGCATGTTTAATTTCCACACCTTTCTAAGCTATTTTATGCTTTTATTTTCTCATTATCTCGTCTTGTTCTTGTCATTATGCTCAGTCAACATTCAGAGAAGGATCATGTCAGTAATCCATCAAATTTCTGGGTTATACTTTTCATGCAACAATCTAGTCTTCTAAGCATCTTTTTTGGAAATTAGTACTGAGAATATCATTAGAATTATATCGATGTGGACCTCTGGTTTATATATTGATTTTGATGACTATCCACATAATTCTTTGAAGAAACTTTCACTCATGTTTACATACATGCCCATATCCTCATTTTGTTGATCTCTTAACTTGCTCCCATTCCAATTTGCTTTGCCAACACTTTTAATATCCATAAAATGATTTTGCCAACGGCCTATCCAAGCCCATTATTGTCAGAAGATTGCCTTTTTATATTTTTACTTTTAACAACCAAATCTCAACTTTGGTAGGTCATTGGAGTCGAGCAGATCCAAAACAATCCAACCATCATTTTCAGTATTATCTGGCATAATATGAATTATTTTTTTTTTGGCATGTTTATCAATCTGGAATCGCAGCCATGATTTCAATTATTTCGGGTTTGCATTTTGAGCATTTGGTTTGATGACGCTTGCTATTTATCTCAGTAATAGTGGCAATGGTGCCAATCTTGATTTTGTTTATCTATGACGGTTTTTGGTAAGCTGATTCAATTAAACGAACAAATACTTGATTACAATTTTATTAACTATTTTTTAGAGCCATTGAAGGATATATATCTCTTGAAGCACCTTTCTTCCACTGTTTTCTGTTTAACTTTCTTGCCTACACCGATTTAATTTTTTTTATTTGCTGGTTTCTATTTTACCAAAATCCGAGCGAGGCCTTGTTTTAGAATCTTAATCAGATACAGCTTTCTATTTTTTTAATTGGTTGTGTGTGCGTCTCACCCAGTACCTTATGAAAACCAACATTTCTTAATTCACTATTTTGAGACTGTCTTTATGTATGTTAACTAACACCTATTATTACCTTTTGCAGTTATACTAACTAGTTTTTAGGTGACTTTTTAGGGTAATGATTCTTTTATCTGGACACTGCAATTGGTTGCTCGATTAATTTTACATGCAAACTTTTATTTGCTTTCACCATTTTCCATCTTGATCTTACAACCTGCGTTTGCACTTGTGTCTGAGTACATTCTTGTCTGCATCTACTTCTTCTTTTTGCATTTTTCCTGCTCATGTGCCTATATACTTGGCTACAATCTTTGCATCTCAGAGAGTATTGCTTATACTCCAACAGATTCTTTAGATTATAACCTTTGTCAATCCTCAAGTTTATGAAGCCGCCAATACTTCATTTGTCAAAATAACCAACATATTTACTAGAAACCGCCTACTTTCGACTTTTATTAGCATTGTTACTATATATTCCTCAACAATTTTATTTTCAACTTGGGTTAAAAGCAATCGGATTGAGTGTGGTTAAGGATATTTGATCTGAAGTTGATATTTGGCTAAATGCGTGAACTATTTT